CACGGCAGTTTCTTGTCAAATTCATATTTATTGTATGAATAGTACAAACTGTTATCCATGTTTTCTTTACTCGTTAGTAATGATATATTACAATATTTCATTAAAAACAATTTCTTTAAACATTTGGATGTTTCTTATTTTCTAAATGCTCAAGTTACATGAAAATCAGTGTGATTTATAAAATTGTTTAGTTTTTTGAATATTTAACTCACTTTTGGACCAACATTACCAGGTTCTCCTTTCGGACCCTAAGGATTAGATAAAAAAACAAATGGAAGCAAGAATCAACTGGATGATGTACATGGAAATAAAGACAATCATATTTAAAAGCGGAATATAAAATTATTATAGTACAGACCACATATGTATACAAATATATTGGAAATAATGTGTACATTAGCGACCATTCAACTAATCAAATTACTATTCAGTTTGAAAAGTAAATGAATATCGGCTATTCAGTCAGTTATGGGCTATAGGGGACTTGGGATATATATATATTGAGATGGTGGAGAAGATTTGTAGCTCAGGTGGATGATTTTGGTGGAGTTTTGTTCGACCAAACCATCCAGCTCAGAGAACAAAACTCCACCAAGATATATATATATATATATTTGCCGAAAACAATATAACGGATAAAATTTTACACATCGTTTCTGGAATTCTCGATTACATGTGTGATTAAAAACAGAACTAACTGGTAGTCCTCGTCTCCCAAATCCAGATTCACCAGGATCACCACGTTCACCATCGATACCAGGCAGTCCTCGGTCACCATCCATACCCTGTCTTCCAGGTTCACCTTTTTCACCTGGATCACCCTAATAAAAAACACCGATAAAATAAGTTTAAGTGAAGCAGTGGTATAAATATATAGCTGAAGATTTAGTGAATGAACTCTCATATAATAACGGATTTTGAGTCGATAATTAGGTTGTCGTGATGCAAAATAAACATAATAAATAAATGTATAAAAACTCGTAAAAATTACAATGAAGAGAAAAGTGAATAACTTTATGTACTACTAGTTCACCATATGAGTGAATCACGTGTGGAGGGAGACAACACTTACTTTTCCTCCAGGGCAACCAGCAATACCTTTGGCACCTTTTTCACCTGTTTCTCCACTCTCACCCTGTAAGTAAACAATAAAAATCATTTGAATTTTTTAAATACAAAAATAAATATTTTTCAATAACTAAAACAACTTTTAAAGTGTTAATCAAAAGAGATATATTCTTGATAGGTTGTTTTACTCACATGTTCACCATGCATTCCTGGTGAGCCGAAATCCCCTGATGGACCCTGCGAACAAAGAATAAGAAAATAATGGTTCCTATAACATATATAATAATATAAGGTTGAAACAAAAAGATACTGGAATTTCAGTTCAAAAATTCATAAATGAATTAGTTTCATGTAGTTTGTAGTGGTTAGTTGAAGTACACACCGAGTACCAAGAGAAACTACAATAAATTTACATTCAATGTTTTATTTTAAATATCTTTTTTGTTACTGTAGTTTCTAACTCACTCAACCACATAAATAAGAGAGGAAACGCTAAAATACCATAGTTTATAGACCTCAACACGTATAAAACTGGGAGATTCTTGTTACAGAGCTGAATAAATTGATTTATATTAAACAATGATAGATAAATGAACAATTATTCGGTGAAAAGAAGCCTATACAATCAAGATCATATGCAAACAGCATAAACCAACTAGGCAACAATTACTTCCTTAAAATACATCAAGTAATTTAGGAAAACAGCAACTATGCGATTTCCATAGTTTTCTTAATAGATTGAAGTTAATGATAATTTGTATGCTAACCATAAAATTTGTCTAACTTTATCATTAATTTATATTGTCAGTATGTGAATATATTAATTATTAGTCAAACGAAAATAAAAATTTTCCAATGGTTAGCATGACATAACTACATTATCATTCATCTACTTTAGAATGTTGAGCGAGACTATAATTTATAGACGAACCAATCAGGTCTAAGATAATAGGTCTCGGATTTTTGGCGCAAAATTCACTCATCCATTTGGCTAAATAGCGTCTTGGCATTATAGCTGATGTCAGTTCATGATGAGAACCCCAAGTCTAATTACTAACTATCAACTGCAAATCATAATTCTAATTCCTTAAACAGGTTTATAACCCACATTTGATCCAAGATATTAAGTGGATAATCTCAAGGTCAGACTAGCTCAAAGGTCGTCCATAAATTATAGTCTCACCGAATGTTGATATTAATATTGAATTATATTATACAATGTATTACTATGTTAAATATTGATTAAAAATATACTCAAAGATTAAATTAACTTGAAGTTAAAAACAGTGGAAATATAGTGATCCAGATGAATTGGATGAACTTTTTACTTTCATTGATTCATCATTCATAGTGAGTATTAGTGTACAGCTTAAATGCACAAAACAATAATGGTGTCAATTATACAGATATTTATACTTTATACGAATACTCGTTAAAATCTGAATGAACATTTTCCATTGAAGAAGTTCGAACCGGAATCCTAGATGAAACGACGGACTATTTAAACACAATTTATGCATTTAAGTCATTTATACTGTTTGGGTATCTCAATCGCCATCATCTATTTGATTATTTCATACTGAAACATGTGCGCCACCGGTATAAATAAATGAATTATAACCCTTCTTTATACTTACTCTTTCTCCAACAGGACCATCAACTCCATCTTGTCCAGGATCACCTTTCATACCTCTTAGTCCCGGTGGTCCTTGTTCACCTGGATAACCTTTAGGACCGATAGGTCCAGGTGGACCTCGAGGACCTGGGTCACCCTAAATACAAGATTTTAAAGAGTGCGAAAGAAAAATAAGTTTCTCAATAACAATTAATATAAATGAAATCAAAATTCATTTGATAAATTTGCTTACCTGTGGTCCTTGTGGTCCAAAACATCTGCAAAAATTGTAATCACATCTTACGGAACAATCGATATCTCGACGAAATTGCTGAAAATACATAAATGATAATAAAACTGTATCCATTTAATAAACTACATACCGATTGTGCAAAAGGAATTCCACTGAAAGTAATGAACGTAACCAGAAATATAAATGTCCTATAATGAAAGAAAACGAGACGATCAGAATGAATAGAAATTAAATTAAGCAGTGAATTTTGATGTTGGTTTAATTTTTTTCTATATATAAACTTACAAAAGTTTTGCTCTGATATAATGAAGATCAATATTGTTTGCCTGTTTCTGTCGTGACAGCAACAGCATATGCATTGGTCTGGATTCTGTTATCAATAGTAATATTCTACACGTATAGAGAAAACAAGACAATAAAAAATATCAATTCTTATCATAGACAGAAAATTTTACTACTTAGTTAAATCATGAAATAATGAAAAAGACCTTATCGTTCAGCAGATCTTTTTGGTAATTTTGGATTATTTGAGATGTCGACTTAGATTTGATATATTAACCTATACGAGCAAGGTTACCTACTCACATGATCACAAGTTAACCTAATAAGACAAACCACATATATGTAGATCCAAGTGAAGAAAATAAACCCTGAGAAGTCAATTAATAATAGCTATGTGGTAAGAATGCATTTATTCGGCACTTGTGGAGTAGTTTTAAAAAAGCTCACTTATATTTCAACCAGATTTCGACACAATAGCTCATAATGACACTAGAAGCTCATTAATAAAGCCAACTAACTCAGAAAACAAAAAAGGGATTAAAAGCGGGGATTTTTTTATCCGATTTAGGTGTCAAAGATAACTTGAGTTAAAATATGTACCAAATAAGAGACTTATAGTAATGTGTAAAGTCACACACTAACACAGAATGAGAAATAATATCATGTTTGATATGATTATATATGAGTATATTCTCGTAATGAATAACGAGTGAAAAACAATAGTGAGTTCAGATAACTCAAACAAGACATGTATATCCCACCTCATTAGTGGATCATAGTCTATTAAGTCTGTATCTAGAACAAGCATCTATGTATGCTGGGAAGTATAAGTTCCCATTTCGATCAATATTAAGAGAGGATATTATAGACGTATAGATGTATAGATTTAAGAATTATGTACAAATTTGGGACCATGAGTATCATAACCTTTTGAAGTTTGATTAAGGAATTTCTATTAAATTCATTTGACAGAACTTAGTATAATAGTTTAATGTTACTGTTTCGTATCTATTAGTACCATGAATGGTAGTTTAGTTCACAGAAAATTCCAGCTTTCAAAGTGATAAATTTCTTGACATTTAATTGGAATGTTACATCCAATAACCTTTGAAATTAAATGATTGAATGACTAAATTAAAAATCAAATTACAGCTGACAATATCAGATATTACATTTCAGTATAGAATCTCAAAAGCAGAAAGGTTATTTTTACACTAACTAATGATAGTGACCTCCATATGTGGGGAGAACTACTTATATCCATATAAGTAGTATATAACAACGGTCAGACATAAAATGTATCTCAGTAGAAGATCGAGAAGGAAAGAACAGCAACGGAGAGCAACTGGTATGAAAATGCATGAACAATGAAATCGAAGATGATGGACAAAAGAAACATTCGATTTTGAGACAATTGATTGAAATTTTGCAAATTAATTATTTACTGTATGGGTCTCAAATTTTAGTGACATATTCCGTAATTTTGTGCTCAAATACGTTCGATTGTCCCCACTTGTGTTCTTTGTTCACTACACATATTGAAATGGGATAAAATTGACAGGACATAGAACATCTTGAATATTACTACTACTAAAATTTTTATGAAACTAAGTTATTTCAGTATTTATAATTAGATTTTTCTTAATAAAATCTATAAATATTTACGGTAAACTAACTAACTTTAAACATAAACTACTTATAAAATGTTTAAATTCGAAAAATACTAATTAAATAAATCATACATTCATTCACATACATAGTTTAGGAAGAAAAAAATCATTAAATTACAGTAAAAACCTTTATTATTACTACTAAATATTATCAATATAATTCACAATATTAAAGAATCTGTATGTAAATATTGTTATAAATATTTCAAAAGATTAAATATTGATCATTCTTCTATATCATATTATATTTCATATATATATCATGCTTATTATGACTAAGATTGAATATGGCGCTTTTAAATTGTTGTTTTAAACAAAAAATTTAAAATCAAAATCAATAAGCACATATAAGCAAAGATATTTCTGGGTTTTTTTTAAAAAAAGCGTGTCATTTTCAATAAAACGAATAATAATACAGAATAAATTCAAAAAAAAATTAAAGGGTATCAATATCAAGTAGCCTATTTAAACAAAAGAATATAAAATGGAGAAAAAACAAATCAACTTTTAAAATAACCAGGTAATAATGAATAAAAATTGTAAGTTGAAAGAAAATTTTAGAAAGAATGAAAAACAGAAAGAAAAATATAATAAGAAATGGAGTATATATGGATATAAATGTTGAAGATTAATTAACCTGTCGACATGATGTTATTCTTTCATTTATTTTGTTTCCTATCATTTATAGTTTTTGAAACAACAAATGTATTTACTCTGTATGTATATTTATTCATCTATGGATATGAGTACTATTTATTTAAGCAGGGATTTTCATACAGACTCGACATTTACTAACGTTATTCAAAACTGGCCCTTCAGCTGCTTTCATAACAAAACCTACTGGTTTCTCAAATTGTGTAATATTTGGATTAAGAGCCCTTAAATAATAAACTTTTGCATCTGACCAATAATGGCACATTCCTACATTATTATTACATTCAATAACTGGTGAATAACGAAAATGTTCCATACAGCTTCCAGGTGAAGATAATTGTTGACCTCCACCATGAGCACCAGAAGTATGCTAGAAATAATTATAAAGAGATGAAGTAAAAGCATAGTTAAACTATTTTAAAAGTATATTTGGAAGAATTATTGCAAATATTCATTTAATAAAAGGAACATATCAATTAGAACAAGAACGCTAAACCCAAAACTGAACTATGGGTACAATAGGTTATGTTGAGTGATTTTTAAAGATGACAATTCGAATATAGATCTAGTCAAGGTTTAGCAAACACTGGAAAAAAAAACAAAAAATGCTGGACAATTGTTACATTCTATTTTTCATCCTCCCCATGAGTGAAACAATTTATTCCACATCAGCGGTTGGAAAATATGGTTCTCGTCGTAGTACTCAAAGCTATTAAGTTCAATCTTATATGAGGTTATTTTTACATATTACTAATTCAGGAAGTGAGGGGAGACAGATATCCCTAGTTTTCAATTGTCCGTTACCTGGTGTCACTCTGCATTATTGATGGAATATTACTTTTAACCAGTTTCTTCCCTTTAACAGACCAAATTTTTACTGTGATGTTAGGTAGTTGGAGGTAGTCGACAGGAACTCCTGGTTTTGCGTTAATTAGTACTCGCCACTGAGGTTTATTTAAAACCTTAAGGCAATGATGCTCCCTGTAAGATTTGAACCGAGGTTACCCATCTTCATAATCCGAGATTTTGCGACTGAGTTATTCGAATCAAGCGATGTTGAGTTATTCAGACTAGTGACCACTATTTGACATGATCGGTAAAATTTGATCCGAACTAAGAACTTGATAAAAATGACATTTGTTATTATTCAGTGACTGAACAATCTAAAGCTTATGCTGATTAAAGCAGTTGAGGAGATAATATGATCTAATCAAAAGAATTTGAAATTAATGGATATCACTGTTACTTGTTTATGTCAAGTACATATTGATTACGATATCTAGCATATGAATAAAACATCATTGACTTAAATCTTAAACAGCTTATGGGATGAAAGTACATTACAAGTGAAAGGAGTAAATATAATGTTTTATTCATTTACAAATGAACTAATATACATCCTAAATAGATTTACTCAAACTTCACTAATTTCTTAACCTTTGATAAGTAATCTAAAAACAACTAAATTTCGAATGTAATCCTTATCACCAAATGATATTCTTTTTTCCAAGAGAAAATTTTCTCCCTAGACAAATAATGGGACTATGTTAAATGCATAAAAGTAAATATTCATGGTTATGTTTTGTGTCTAAATGAGCTGGAAACCGTAGAAAACCCTCCATTCTAGAAATAAAGAAAACTTTCTGAATGTATTAATTCAAATCATTATTTCATAATCAAATCGAGAAATTACGTCGATTTTAAAAGGTGATGATTGACTTCTATCGATTTCCTTTACCGTCTTAGGAATTCCGAAAATATCAAATAACTTACAAGTATTAAACTAACACCTGTCCACAATTCAGTCCAAGTATTCGGACATGGTTGTAATGTTTCACCTTGACTGTGAAAAGCAAACACATGTGCAGGAGCTTCACAGACTACACATCTAGCAATTTGATCAGCCGTTTGATCTACTGGAATCGGTTGTTCAGATCGAGGTACCAATGTGGCCAACCAGTAGGATCGTTCATGCCTCATACTTGATTGACAAGTTGTATCTCTTTCACATTGAGTCATTGGTAATGAACTGAACTTTGACAAACATGAACTTGGTGTACCTAAATATGAATTTTGAAAAGTCCATTTGTATCAAAAAAATACGATTAACCAATTACTCGACTGTAAATGCTGTTTTGTAGTTTAAAATACAGAAGTCCGACTATTGGAAATAGCTCAGGACTCTTATTTTCAGAAACGATTCGACAAGGTAATTAATATTCACCGTTTAACATGTGACCTAAAGAATATTAGTCCCATACTAAGATAGTATACATATTATACTACATTTTTAAGTCTAAAGAAAATTGAAAGGGTGTTAGTGGCCATTTCCCATTTTCATTTCAGTCTGTATATTTCTAACTTTGACACGAGTAAGAAATATTTCACCAACTAATTATACAACGAATAGAATGATACAATGAAACAGAGCTATATGAAGTGTCAGTATGGGAGAAGGAAATGACCGATTGATTAAAAACAACAGGTACACCATTAAGAAGTAAATTATTTTTGTGAAAAATCTCAGCCATAGAACTTAAAACGAATTCAGCGTTTCCGTCGGCATTCTGGTCCAAGTTTTTTCAAGGGAATTAATCAAATATAAAAATTCTCGACTATAAATACATCGTTCACATATTAACTGTATACTAAACGAATTGTCTAATAATGTTAACAATGATGATAGTGAGATTTGTCACTGGGTGTATGAATCAGTTAATGTGAAGAAATTGTGTGTGGATCTGATGTGAGAAACTTCAATGTATCTAAAGCGCCTCATTTTGATAGATATTGTAAATCGAATGTCACAGCATGCAAAAAATGAAAATAAATAAACAGTAAACGTAAGTTTGTGTTGTTGTAATAAACCAGCTAATTGTTTATTGTATGTTCAAATAAATTAAATGATTAGAACAAATAAAACTAATCATTATTGTCCACATGATAAAAGACTAAATAAAAGAAATAAAATGTAAAATGAAATTCAGATTCTCCTACTAATTAATAGTTATCATGGGATAGCTAATTATATTCCATCTCTCCTATTTTGATCAACTGAGTTTACCCATATATGTCAGACTTTAGCTCTCTTTCCATACAATACAAAATCTTTTTGAAAGACTATTATGCTATTGAAATCAATTGAATATCAAGAATCTGTTGAATCCAATGCTATCGATGACTTGTTTTCTGATTGTTTTTGAAATCACTATTGATTTCATTGTTGACTTATTTAACATTAATTACATTACTCTTGTGGTGTGAGATTCTTATATCCACATAAGTAGTATATAACAACGGTCAGGCATAGAATGTATCTCAGTAGAAGATCGAGAGGGAAAGAACAGCAACGGAGAGCAACTGGTATGAAAATGCATGAACAATGAAATCGAAGATGATGGACAAAAGAAACATTCGATTTTGAGACAATTGATTGAAATTTTGCAAATTAACTATTTATTGTATAGTTCTCAGATTTTAGTGAGATATTCCGTAATTTTGTGCTCAAATACATTCGATTGTCCCCACTTGTGTTCTTGTTCACTACACTCTGTTGAACACATACTATAATATAAAATGAATTTCTCAAACAACAATTAATGTTATTAACTACAAGAAATATATTTGAACTTAATTAGGTTTATTTATGTTGGGAGAGATAAAAAAACAACTACTTTTTGCCTTTAAAGTACATATTCATCCGAACTATAAATCCATTGATTGTTAATATTTTTCCAATGTAAAGTGATTCGTAAAATCAACAATGATTGTCAATACACAGGCTGATTTCATTTATAAATTTAGGGAATATTACAATTTACAGAATATTTTTATACCAGTTCAAATTCTCTAGGATGATAATATGCCTAGTTATTCTGAGTGTACATGAGAAACATACTCATATATGGCTTAATAGTCTGACAGAGAAACAATTTTATAAAAAAAATGCCACAGGATGTATTTTATCCATGTAATTTGGATTGCTTTACCTAAATCCATACTGACTAAATCATCCACACCTCCTCCCATAACGTAGCTGTAACCAGTGAACAGTTTATTAGTCCCAGTTGGACATGTAAGGTCATCGACAAACGGCGTCTGGTAATGACGAGCAAATAATATAGAGGAGTAATTTGTTTGACCTGGTTGTCCCTTCTCACCATTTTTACCTTTGGGGCCAACATCACCGAGAGGACCAGGAGGTCCAACTTCTCCAATATCTCCACGCTCTCCTACATCACCTACTTCACCTCTCTCACCCTCTACTAGTCCAGGTTGACCTTTTTCTCCTTTTTCACCAATATCTCCATCATCCCCCACTTCACCATCAGGACCCGGGTCTCCTTGTTCTCCAAGAGCTCCATTTTCACCAGGATCACCTATTTCACCAAGCTCCCCTCTTGTTGCAACTCCTTGAGCTCCCTTTGGACCCTGGATACCAGCTTCGCCCATTTCGCCTTGATCACCAGTTTGTCCACGATTCCCTGACGGGCCTTGATCTCCAGAAAACCCTTTTGGTCCCATAATACCATCAATTCCATCTATTCCTGATGAACCTTGTGATCCCTGTATACCTTTTTCTCCATCGTAACCAGGAAGACCTTGCACACCTCCCACTCCCGGATCCCCAATATCTCCTGGTGTTCCTCGTTCTCCTTTCATTCCTGGCTCACCAGTAAGAGCGGCCAAACCTGAAGGGCCTTCAGGACCTTGATCACCTGGTTCTCCTGGAAGGTAATAAGAATAACGCTATTTTAATAATGTTATCAATAAATAATTACTTACTTCATTTAAAATAATAGTGAGATCTGGTGCTAAGAGCTATAGCTCAGTAGCAAACAACGTATCATTTACCCTTGTCTACCGTTTATTTGATAAACCGATTTTTAATTTCAGTATGATGAGCTGAACATACCATCATTTATGAAACAGATTTTCATATCACCACTGTTACTCAATCTTAAAAGGAAAATAACTCAAATGACTGAGTATTTTAACCAAATTCACAAAGAATTAGAGAGATTAATGTATTTATAGTTATCCTGTAAAGATCTATGGACACTTGATCAAAGTATCTCCTGCAGAACGCATCTCGCTATACATCCACAATATAATATTAGGGGCATAAGTAAATAGACATAAAAAATAGGTCATCAATACCTGCTTCTCCAGGTAGACCGATGTGTCCAGTATCACCAAGTTCTCCTGGTGCTCCAATTACTCCAACCCCTGGTGGACCATCTTTACCACGTAGCCCAGGTAGTCCTTTTTAAAGAATAAAAGAACATTGTTATTTTGTTTAAAATAATCCGCATACTCTACAACTGAAAGTACATTGTTAATTAATAAAACTAAACCAACGAACCCAGAGGAATACTAAAAATACTCGAATGCCTAGTAATTATCAATATTCATGCTAAAAGATATATATACGTATATTATCATAACTGCTAATGTGGAAAGAATGACATCGGCTGTACCTTGGCATCGTAATTTTTGGGTGCTCACTAACTTTTATATATGGTAGGGATAGAAAAAATATCATGTTCGTAGTGTGCTCTTTTTCTTCATCTTATAGATGGTAAGTATCATAAAGAGATAGAAATGTTTTCTATTTCAAACCAAGTACCGAATAGTTTACCGGAAAACCCAAAATTAGCCCTCTACTACATAACGAAGACCATCAGGATCAACTGGAAAAACCAAGCTTGTATGTTCCAAGCAGATATATCGAGATACATTGTTTGATCTAGCGAAAAACAGTATTATAATACTACTTAAGCAAAAAATTATAAACACTCACCATTAATCTGTTCTACGTTTAGTTCCTCCGAACCCTCTTCCTATCAAAGTATCAGTCAATTTTTCTTTAGTTCACATGGGATCGTTATTTCTATTATCATATTAACAACAACATGCCATTTCTCAGTTTTGGACTTTATTCATACAACTTTACTCACTGGCTTAATGTTCTTACTTATAGTGATGCGACCTTTCAACTTTACCAATGACTGATCTTGTATATCTTTAAGTCTCAAGAAATATACAAACTATTATTTCCAATATAAAAAGCCAGGCAGAAATTGATCATGAAGTTTCTTTGTAAATATGCTAACGTTTTTCTGTTTGATGTCTCTGTTTTCCAAAAGAAGCGATTCGATGTTAAACGGGATGGAATGACAGCTAAAAAAGTGGTAGTGATAAATTACAGATGTTTTTAATTGATCAACATTAAGGATTAATGAGCTGTCACTACCAAATCAATATATATTCCTAAAATTCTACAAACCTTGATCGCCAGGTGGTCCCTGTGGTCCAGGTAACCCCAGTGGGCCTAGTCGACCTTGTTGACCTTTCGGCCCAATGGAACAGTTTTTGGCGGCTTCACCTGAATCACCTCTAAGACCTGGTTCGCCTTTTTCTCCCTCTGGTCCATATACTCCTATCATACCAACATCTCCTTCCGAACCTTGCTCTCCGATTGGACCTTAAATACAGTGAGTAGAAAGCAGAAAATACCATGACCAAATACTTGTAAAAACAAAAAACAGTTACTAAAGATATATATTTTGTTACTGGTAATGCGAAATAGCTTTATATTTTCAGGTAACTGTGATAAATAATTTGATTAATTTAGATGAAATTAAGTGAATTCAAGAAGTTATATTCAAGATAAAGGCTGAGTGGTATAATCCAAATGAATAAGCTAAAGCATTGTCAGGAATAGTTTTTCATATGATTAATTTGATAATAAATGAAAATATTTCAATATCTGATAAGGTAACTTAAATAAAACAATTTATCTCTCCATATCTTGCAAAGTATACGTCAATTAGTGTCTTTCATACTAATGGTTTTGTTTTTAAGATGACCGTATGATTTGATGGGAAATTCTGAGTACAATTTCTTGTATAAAATTTTCCTAATCTGACAAGTTCAACGTTTTAGAAAGTTTAGAAAATTAAATCCCTGGAGTAATTGTGAAGATTTTGTATGTATTGTTACTATCGTAAGCTTATGGAGTCTGAATCACGATGAACATGAACAAGTAACACAGAATACATCGCTTGGCCTCAATGGCGGATAGACTGTATGATTAAGCATATTCATGAGTATGATAAACAAGCATGAAACAGATGATTATTCCTGTCACTTATTAATAAATAGTATGAGCAAGAAATTCTCCTTAAAGAATATGACTAATAAGTAAAATCACTTGACTTGAAACCAGTAGATTGCGAGTTTAAGCTCTGTCTCATATAATCCGATCTCGACAGTTGCATTGTATGATTATCCCTCATACAAAATATTTGGCTTAGAGCTAAGATACATAGATAAATCATTTCAAATATTCAGTTAATTAAATACTGTGCTTATCTGCTGAATTACATTACCTTCGTTTCCTTCAGGTCCTATATCACCTTCTGAACCAGGTGTTCCGATTTCTCCAGTTTCACCAGTTGGTCCTTCATCACCTTGATCACCTTCTTCACCGGGTATACCTTGAAATGTCATACATATTATAACATTTTTAAAATATGGAGTTAGTAATAAATGATTATTGAATTTGTCAAATCAAATGAAATAACATTGAGTAAATAAAAAAGGCAATTGACTAATAATATATGTTAAAGTTAAATTGCTAGAAATAGACTATTTAATAGACTCTGTCAATATAAACTAACATTTTTAGAATTGTTTTGATTTATAATGAATAGCATGAGAAATAGAACTGGTAACTTATACACCACTTTAGAGTTTAAAACAGCCAATACAAACTTTCCAACTTATAACCCTAAAAATGAGAATTTTAACGGTATATTTTAGAATTACTGCAAGCAAGATGAACTAGAACAGATTAGTTGATTTATATGATTATAGGATTCGGATATAAACTATTATAATTGAACGATATTAAAGGTGAAATTAACATGTTAATCCACTCGAAATTAGTGAGTTACATAGACAATATTCGTGTTTGTTTAAATGTGGAAAACTGTCCGCTTCTACCCAATTTATCATACTCAAGTATAGTTTATGAACAGACAAATAACTACTAGAAGCTTTAAATCTAAAATATGAGTCCTATTGTCTAGGAAAAGGTTATGAGCGAAGAAATGGTCTATAAGATTAGGACAAACAATAATTAGAACCTTTTTATCTTTCAGAAACTTATCAAAAAATATTACTAAACATAAAAACTAGTATTACATTGTTAACCAGACTAAAAATGATCACAAAAGTGGAACAGGCAAAGAATTTCAGTTTGAGGGAAGCAAAGCATACTTCATTAACTCTATAGATCACAATCGAGATTAAGTAAACGTAACATATATTGTTCGATTTTATGGATGATTATATTTTAATAAAGACTTTGAAATATATAAACATTGATTATTGTAATTTCTAGGCATAAATATCCAAAAAAATGAATACTTATTTTAAATAACCGATGTCAATATGGCACATAACCATCAATTTCAGTTCTACAGACCTGATTCTCCTTGTTCCCCTAAGTCACCAGCTTGACCTTCTACTCCTTGAGGTCCTTCCAGTCCCTCTCTCCCTTTGAGTCCAGCAGTCGTATTACCGGGAGGACCAATATCACCTGCTTCCCCCCTATCCCCTTTTTCACCATCTGGACCCAGCTCACCCTCAGAACCAACGTTTCCTTTGGCTCCTCTACTACCCTCTGCACCAACATTCCCGACTTTACCGCGTGGACCACGTGAACCCTGAAGTGAAAAAAACCTTGGTTAGTAGTTAATCTGTTGGTTGTTAAATTTATCGTATATTTTTAAAGCACTATTTTTTAATTAAAATATCTTATAAGTTACTTGACTCTTTAGACCCGATATATTGTTAAAACAAACTACATGATTGACTTAAAACTGTAAAATACTCTCACGATTATGTCATTCTCAATAAAGAAAAGTAACAAATGGTTTTACTTAAAAAGAAAATCTCTACCTTTGATCCAGGCTCCCCCATTAAACCTTCATCACCTTTTAGCCCAGGTTCTCCATCGTTACCATCTAGCCCAGGTTCACCTAACTGACCATCTTCACCGGGTTGTCCAGGTTCCCCTTTGATACCGGGCAGAGTTTCAGCTGTAGGACCTGTTTCACCAACTTCTCCAGGTGGACCAGGTTCACCCTTCTCACCTTGTTCTCCCTGAGTTCCATCTGGCCCAGTATCTCCTCGTTCACCTTCCACAAACTCCCCATTCGGTCCAGGATCACCAGTTAAACCTTGAGAACCATCCGCACCCTGTGGGCCTATAATGCAATAGTTCAAATGAATGATCAACGTACATTATACGCAGATAAATTGACTTCACAGCACACTTTTGAAGTGAGTCATTAAAAATCAGTGAATGAAACCCATGTGAAAATTACATAGCAGTTCAATCGTATATATACTAATTAGAGTATCAAGATTTTGTTGGTGTCAAACAGTACTTAAAAATCTTTGGAAACTAGATGGTTGATTTCCACTGTAGTTATCTATGTAGGACACCTTGCAAATAATATGCTTCTATTGTAATTACTTCTAGTTTGTAAACAGTGATTCATCTTAGGATACATAACTACCTTTCATTTGCGGAAATGTTGTTATGACGTTAATTAATTTTTATTATAATACCCCAAAAGTTATTACTGGATTGAATAATTAGAAAAAATATTCACTTCGTACTCGTAGGCTTCTTAAAAGTAGGTAAGCTGTAAAGATTTCATAAAAATTAATACAAGGATAAATCTTGAGTTAGTTTAAGATTTTTTTGAAATAATGAATCGATTTCAGTTAGACCACCATTGAAAACCTGGAAGTATTGAATGGGCGTTTCACCCAAATGTGGAATCCTCAACAGTGTGTGTCCACGATGGCGTAATCGAGCCCTAACTTAAATCGATTCATAATTTCAATGAAACTAAACAATTTCTATAACCATATACTGAAAATAATTTATGAATGTTGACGTATATAGAAAACAAATATTTGAACAATGGTTAAACTCAAACTAATGACCTTCAAGCTTTATATATTAAATACTTAAGCTTTTAAAATAATATTATTATTCTATAAGCTTTAGTTATATTACCTACTCCTGTTAACTATTTACATTTTTCGTAATGAAATTGTTCGTTAATTTTACGAACTATACAAGATCCTCGAAAATAAAACTAAGTGTTCTTGTTTTAGAATGGTGAAAAAGTCATACAGTAATGAAAATGAAAATCGTTATGTAAACTTGATTTTACCTTGTGGGCCAATATCTCCAGTTTCACCCTCTGGACCAGGAGAGCCCTTTTCACCTATATCACCCATACTACCTGGTTCGCCTTTTTCTCCAGTAATACCACGAATACCTTCTATTCCTATATCGCCAATCTCACCATGTTCTCCTAAGAATCAACACGCAAAGAAAAAAAACAACAAAACAGTGTTATTTCACACAAAAAATATATATGTGTAAATACGATCTACTATATAATGATGGTTAAAACAATTAAAAGTAGTGGAGAAATTCATTACAACAATATTTAACTTGAAGTTAACTATTTCATTAAGGATAATTTTCATTCATCAACATAAAGTTGATTACCTTCAATTATGTAACAAAGAAAATGAGAGAACAACCTATCTGTATTACCGATTAATTATTATTTCTGATTATTTTTTTCTTTCTGAAGCTGATATTACTAAACATTTCACAGTATTCAAAGTATAAAAAGATTGATCTTCTTACTATCTGTTCAACTAAATCATCATTTACTTTATTTCTATTTATTGTACACTTAGCTTACTGTTCATTACATTTATACTGTTGTCTAGTTCGTAAGATAATCAAATAATCGTTTGTTTCAACCAAATATTGTGATTGATTTTCTTTTGTTACTGAAAGTGTATGATGAAATTTGTACATTTTGTTTAGTATGATAAGTTTCCAAGTGAATAAATATCATAACCAATTATATAATTTATATACAATTCATTCAATTCACCTAATCAGATTTTCAAACGTTTCATAAACTTTCAAAACACGTTTTTTAGTATTCCTTTAATTTGTAAACTGTTTGTTTGTATGTCTCTATAACGATTAAATATATAGTTAAGATATAAAGTCGAATAGCTCAATTAAAACCCATATCTACATCTAATATAAAACTATTGAATGCCAAACAGCTTAATAAAAGTTATCTACAAATTTATTAAGTCAACTTGGATGATAAACAACATTTGTAGTGAACAAGAACACAAGTGGGGACAATCGAATGTATTTGAGCACAAAATTACAGAATATGTCACTAAAATCTGAGAACTATACAATAAATACACTTGATATTGTTTTACTTGAATTTTCCCATTGATGTTTTTGGACTGAAATTGATCAGTCTCTTATTCGCATATGTGCATACTGTGCGTATGCCTCGATATTGCCTAAATTTACAAGCATTATAAGCAGAGATGGATAGTGGCTAGCAGTGGAATCCAGGACGCGCGTTTCGTCCTGTTTGGGACTCGTCAGCTGGGTGTACCTGCATCTCAGAGTTGATGTTCACTCTGGGACTCGAACTCAGTACCGTTCGCTTCAAATGCCATCGCGTTATCCACTTAGCTACTGAGTCCTGATAGCCACTTGCTTGTGCAATAGGTGCAATGGGCTATCAGGACTCAGTAGCTAAGTGGATAACGCGATGGCGTTTGAAGCGAACGGTACTGAGTTCGAGTCCCAGAGTGAACATCAACTCTGAGATGCAGGTACATCCAGCTGACGAGTCCCAAACAGGACGAAACGCGCGTCATGGATTCCACTGCTAGCCACTACCCATCTCTGCTTATACAATAAATAGTTAATTTGCAAAATTTCAATCAATTGTCTCAAAATTGAATGTTTCCTTTGTCCATCATCTTCGATTTCATTGTTCATGCATTTTCATACCAGTTGCTCTCCGTTGCTGTTCTTTCCCTCTCGATCTTCTACTGAGATACATTCTATGCCTGACCGTTGTTATATACTACTTATGTGGATACAAGTAGCTCATATCACACATTGACTAAATGTGGATCTTTTCGGAGATTTCAATAAAGTTCAATGTTCACTAAAAGTTTCCAATTGAAATAATCTGGAGGAGTTTTTTGTATTACATAAGTAAGAATGAGTAAATACAATTTTGACTGATTTTATTGCAAATTTCATTTAAGGCATAAAAAATTGACCATGATAACCTTGGCATCCAAATGATGACCATTATTTGTATTTAGATTACTACAGTATAATTAACCTTAAGTCAATTAACTTTTGTGTTGACATGGTCGTAAGATCATCGAAAATCGCTCCATATCATTTGAATCAACCGAATTCGAGAATAAATTGATTAGGTTAACTTTTAATTTCCGTAGTTCAGGAGTTAAAAAGAATATATCAAGTCAGCACTAACTACTCACCTTGAACGTTATCTGATTTTGCATATATTTCTCTGTTAAAAATCAGATGATTGTCAAATAATAATTTTTTTCAGGGTTTTTAAAAAAAATTATAAAAGTAATTAGTGATTTTATTCCCTTCGTAAACTCCTCAATGCTGAATTCCTGGAACTGGTTAGACTAAATTTAACGTAGTACTTATACTTTTATTATTTGCGAATTTTCATCCAATAATTATGATAATTATGGAAAATATGAATCAACTGACTTAATTACAGATCAACAAAATTGTTTACAAAGACTCATCACTCTGGATTATGTTTTTTTAACGTTTGAAAATTATACAATAAAATAAACAAAATGCAAGATTTCCGAGGTTACTATTAAAAGGAGATAGAACTCGAACATTATTAAAACTATAAATCAGTCCGAAATTCGATTTACAACTATTTTCTTGTGAGAGAGAGAGATAGGGGGAGCAACATTAAAAGTCAACTAGCCTTATTGGTTGCACGAGTAAAAATTCTACATTTGAACACTAATAGAAAAAACAAGAAACAAGAACAATCAGATCTAAGGGAAAAGTATGTTATAATTACGGTTATGAGACGTCAAGAGTGACCTTCAATCAAACCAACTAAACACTATCCAATCAGATTACAGGTTTTGTGAGATTCATGTTGCAAATCAAAATGATAAACTTTCAAAAGCTTTATGGTTTTAGTGCGATTAATGAACTTATTAGGTCTCTATGTCTGTAATCACGCTAGAAATTCTTATATCCTTAATTCTAACTCATAACCCTAACACTTTATTGGGCAAACGAATCCTCATTCAATCCATCTGAAATCTAATCGAAAAGATGATATAAATAATTAAATATCCTCAACGATGCTTTAAATCCACACCAATCTTTCATTTCATCTAACTTAATTTGGTAGGTCATTTATGGCCGTCAGAATAATATACTTTTACCTTCAAGCAGGCGATTCATTGTTCGATTGATTTGTCGGCTTGTAGATAAGCACACAGTATGAAAGACTAAGTGTATTGATCTGTTACAGGTTCAACAAAATGATGTAAAAGTTTTTTTGTTAAATTTGATGGAAATGTGTTAGTTTCATATTAGGAAAAACGGATTTCAAAGTAATCACTGTACATTCCTACCATTCTAATTGTTTTACTCTATGATGCGAAGTAGACGTGCGAAAGATTTGACTCTGATTAACTAATAATCGAAAGAGATATCATGGTGTTCGAAAGTACATTGTGACTCGACCTGTATAGTTCCCATGGCAGCCAATAAAACTTTTCTATATCGTACTTAAGCGGTTTGTGCCTCATGTATTTCAGAGGATGTTTGACTAAGATTAGTCGGTAGTGTATTCTACGAAATTCAACCATATCCAGAAAACCCTATGATAATTTGACATGTGCTTGCCATTGACTAATTTGGAGACGTAATCCTCAGAACCGTAATGAGACGCTGTAATTATTGGGGTTCATCCATGTCGAGTACGGATCAGTTACTCCGTCAGTGACATTGAAAAATGATTTCACAAAGTCGCGAATCACAGTCAAATATATAAAATACTAAATAAAGGTCCATTGGTCTAGAGGTTGAGCGCTCGCTGTGCGACCCGAAAGTCTTAGGATCAATCCCTTGTAGGGTTACGGATGCTCACTGGTAAGTTCCGTACTAGGACGAAACGGACGTCCAGTGTTTCCTGGTTTTTAACAGATGTCTAACTAAGATTGATGCCATTATTTTTATGATCTATTTTCGACTAGTCATAATACGTAGACCCAACAATATGTTAAGATATTAATTTAACTCACCATCAGGACCCGGTTCTCCTTCCGGTCCAACATCACCATCTTCTCCTTGTTCTCCATCATCACCTGGACTGCCAATTGTTCCCATTGCTCCATCAGGTCCAGGATCTCCGATTAAACCGGCTTCATTGCATTCAGCAACGTCACCAACACCACCCTTTTCTCCTTCTGATCCCATTAAACCGGGTTCGCCCTTGGGACCTTGATCGCCCGACTCCATATCCGAACTGGGTTCTCCTTTAGGGCCAGGTAGACCTTTAGGTCCAGAATCTCCCTTTTCTCCAGGGCTACCAGTTTCCCCTTGCTGACCGGCTTGAAATGATAATATTTACAGTTAGTTCGGCCTTCATGCATATTAATCACTGATGTAACTAATTAGAAAATATTCTTAAAACTTTAAGTGCGTACCTTCAGCCCCAGGTTCTCCTTTTTGTCCAGGAATACCTGGTTCTCCTTCGTCTCCTTCAGTTCCAGGTTCACCGTCGGGTCCAGGTTCACCCTTAGTACGTTCTGGTGAATCACCATTATCACCCACATCGCCTTCTTCCCCTGTAAGAGAGTTATTAAAGGAGGCTTATAATATTTTATGTAACTGCAATGTCTTCTTAAATAAAATGTCACTGGTAAAATCGCTGTACTTCGTAACTCTGATTATGTATTTTCATACTGAAAACCTAAAACAGGCTATTCTAGGTTACAAGAAGCAAGAGTTTTGAGTCAGATCTTTCAAAAACATATAACAAGAAGAAATATATTAATATTATTCATATTTATTGGTCTAGTTAAATTACCACTGTTTTTTCAATCCGCTTTAAGACGAGAAATATAGCAAGAGTTACTTATTGGAAATAATATGCACCTTTTTGAAATATCGTCTACAACAAACCAGATTGGTAATTGATGATATGATGAAATATTATACTCACCCTTAAATCCTTTTGGGCCTTCAGGACCTTGTTCACCGATATCTCCTTCGATCCCATCAATCACTTGACCAGGATCTCCTTGAAGTCCTTGAGGACCTTCAATACCTACATTAAATATATAATGGGAAGTTTAATGGAATGATGATCTGGATTTCTAAGTGCAAAAATTTTATTGATAAAAATCATGTGAATCCTACCTGGTGGACCCGGATCTCCTTTTTCCCCATCAGGACCTGGAAAACCAGTTTCACCTCGTTCGGACGGTGCTGCCGTTTGACCTATTTCGCCTTTTCGTCCATCAATGCCTCGGGAGCCTTTTTCACCAACCTCACCATCATCTCCTTTCTCCCCACGATCGCCAATCAATTCTGAATAAATGCCAAAACAAAGTAAACGTACTCATAAATCTCAACTGTTTTTATTCATCAATGTGATAATTTAGTATTTTATAGAACATAATATTCATACTTACAAGCATGAAATCTGTTATACAATTGAATAGGACTTATTTTCAACCAACTCACTTAAAAAGAAAAATGAAATCGTTTAGCAGATAGTGATGCTTTATGATTATTCGTGTAAAGTAACTTAAAATTTGAATGAATAAGATGTTTAGTTCAACTGAAATAATGTTCACCTGTAATGATTAAAATAATTCCTCAAATCTCTCACCACTCTAAGATAGAACATGACTGTAACCATTCTAATTAAGTTAGGTCTTTATTTTAGGAAAAAATGCTGAAATTACGAGAGAATATTTTGTCTGGAAAAAATAAAATGAAACTATGGTAGGCAATTATCACTACTTGAAATTTATTTAATAAATCAGACTATCTCTTGCCTTATTGCTTTTTTATGGAAGTATTTATGTCAATCTGTTAAATTTTGAGAAGTTGAGTTGTCTTTTTTTTCAAGAAATATCCGTTATTTTAGTGTAATAATGTAAGTTACCATTTATTATTCAGTGAAGTAGGTTTATAAGTGACCCTATCTACGTATCCATAAGCTTGTACATGTTCGAATTGACTATACCTCTCAGTGAACCTACTCATCGTATGGACATTTTTTGTCCGTAATAATTTACCCATACTTCTATATGTACATGCATTCTTGTAGAAGTGATTATGTATGATCGAATGCATGGGTTTCAGCCAACACTTATCTCTCTGACCAGCTGGGACATTGACTGCTTTGAATGTTCAATAACTTATTCTCCCTTACATACATATTCGCTTACTAAGTAGTATTCATTAATTCGCTCACTTTCTTTTTGCGTCACCTGAACGTTCCAAATAAACTGTTTCTAACACACTTCATTTCAACTTCTGAATATATTGCGCTATTAGTCGATTAATGTGTCAGCAGTTATTTAGTCGAAGTGCACACACAGTTAAGAATGGAAACTCAACCTTTCCGTAACAGACTACAATGTACAATTGTATTCGTGTGGAATAAATGTTTTGGTGCTTTAATCCGATAAATATTAGTACAAATATAATACAGAAATCATATGAATGGTTTTACATTTATTCACTCGCCAAGTATAAGGAATTTTGTAATTTATTTTTGGAATAACAAATCACTTGACTTTCAGACAGCATGTAGTTGAATTGGGACAAGAGATAAATCTGGAATTCAAAGATTATTGTTATTATTGAACTATTTCATTTCGTCCCTCACACACAAGATAAATTTGGCTTTTAGATTCTATATTAAGATTGGTATATCTACTGCAGTTGAAGGGAACTCTAACTCTGAACATAATCGTAACTAGTAGTTAAGAAATAATAGGTTCCGTTCTGTATAAATTGGTCATTTTACATATTTTGGAAGTCTCATCAGTCCTGGCAAGTTGGTGGTTGACAAGATCTCAACATGAATACAAAAAACTTACCCATATTTTGCTAATTTTCTCAATTTCTGGTGTAGACAAGGTGTTTGTTGCCCTCCTCAAAAGAGTGAATGTACTGTTCATCAGTACTCTTTACTTTATCTCATGGTTATGTGACATGACCTTCGAATGTTCAACAAATGAATAGGTTGTAAAGACTGATCCACAAGCATAATCAAACTATAGATCATGTACGAGTGGTTAATGCTGCGATGAGGAGATGGTAGCTGGGTAGGGATGATAGCTTGATTGGTGAGACTATTAAATTTCATTAATTTAGATGGCTAGGACACGTACAATGAAGATCTACTTAGACCTAATATATTGAACGGCATAGGAGTAAGTTGTAAGATGTTCACTGGTGGCCAAACTAAAACATATAATTGTTTGAAGTTACTGACTTTGGGATGGATTTGTGTCAGGTGGTGGATACTACTTGACTGTGGTCTGCGTGACAATCTTCATTAAGGGATAGTGAGCGTAAATGGAATAACTTAAAAGCAAATTTAATTGGGGAAATATATTCATTCTCTGTCGTCCACTGAATAGTGAATTTCAACACTATCTCATAGATTTTATTATTCGATTATGCTCATTCTTATCAGACTACATAATTTTGTGCTGATTCGAAGTATAACGACCTTAAGTTGATGAATTTTTATGTCATATCTTAATTTGTTTATTGTTAACTGATTCCTGACTTCAAGAATAACTGAATTTAGAGCATTAATGAACTATTTTTCGAGAGTAAACTAGAATTAATAAGAACCACTGTGAATGCTTTAAATTAATAACTTTTCATTGATAACCATATAGAATTCACACTAATAAGCGTAAGCAGTTTAGATAGGATGTCTTATTTTATTGTTAGTTTCTATAATTACAGAATGGTTACCTGAGAAGGTCAATAAATGCAATAAATATACGTGTTGCAGGAAAACTAGAAAACTATGTTTGCTTCTTTTATTGTAGAAAGGCAGAGTAAAATGTAAGCATCTTAGATTGAAACACCATATAGCCATTATTCTAAGCAGATGACATTAATAGATTTTTATTTGCTTGAAATAACGTTATTAAGAGAAACCAGTTAAAATCTCAATTTGTCTATAAATTACAGATGTATTTAAAAATTTCAATCGTTTTTTTCTATTACCAGATTCATTTTTTGCTACTAATTGTCTCCAATCAATTGTACAGTTGGTCATCACTCCAGCTATGCCTTTTTCACCTTTCTCACCGACTGAACCCTCATCACCCCTTTCACCCAATTCACCAACCATACCTTTGACATCGATACCATCTTCACCTGTTTCACCATCGTCACCATCATCTCCAACTTCACCAATTGGTCCTTGTTCACCATCTGTACCCTGTAATGATATTATAGAAAATAATAGTTATTATGCTATAGTCTTAAAGTAATTATTGGAACCGAATTAATTACCAAATTTTCGAATGAGACATACAAACTATGTTAGTATACAGAACATAGAATAACAACATGAAAACTGATCTACAACTGAGAACAGATTGTAAAATACAACGATTAAGATGTGAAAAAATTTGATTAGTGCTATTTCCTAAGAAAGAAGTTTACAGATAGGGGTGACTCTGTCGCAAACTGAAATCGACATGAAAACAACTGAATACTGATAAGCAGTGAATGGATGTCTTTATTCTCTTTTGATACTCTTTAATAGTGGGGAAGTTAATAAGGGTATAAAACGTTTGAATAAAACGCAACAAAGTGTTACTGTTATTTAGCTTGATGAATTACAAAGTACATTCTTTTTTCGTGATGGCTGGTGATACGACTAGTTCGCCCAAATCAAAAAAGAATAAGCAGAGTTTAGACCTGAGATCATTTGGTCAAAATTCGGAACTTCTGATCAATAAGTCCATTTTTCTTCATATAGACACTCAGAACCATTATTAAAAGCTCATACATATTTATCAGTAATGTTTTACACAAACTACCGTCCCTTTTACATTTCACATTCATATATGGTAGTAGTTAGATCGAAAATCAAGTTTCATTCTTTTTGGAGCACATAAGTTAACAGTACCTAACTACCAGGTAGTACCCAAGGTATTCTACTCATCTATTCGAAACCATATCATTTTGAGATCTTAGACTTTATTTATCCACCGACTTAATTAGTATTAGTTCAAACCTACTTGCAATCGACCATTTCCAAACAAAATTGACGATATTTTGCTGAAATACGAACCCGTGATACAGATATCCAAGAATTTTAAATCACCGTATTTTCGTGTGATTTATACTCGATCACAGTTTTAGTATAATATTGAATTTTCATTTTTATAGCTAAGATTATCAGATCACAACCAAATACTTCAATGTGAACTATTCAACTTTAAGTATGTCTTCGAATAATATGAATTACTTTTCGGAAATTGTTACAAAGTGCGTTAAGAGTTTACAATATTTATTAAAGTGACGATAAATAATTTTTCATTTTTCATTACTCTTTTGAGAAGTGATTATTACCGGCAATATTAGTCCATTATGTCATCATAATCTAAACAATTTGTTTAGTAAATTAACTGAAGAGAAGGTTTCTTACTTGTTGTCCTTTAGGACCCTCATCACCAACAGGACCAGGTTCTCCTTCATCGCCTCTATCGCCAATATCACCAATACTACCTTCATGACCTTCATCACCTTCATCGCCTGGAATAACATCTTCTACAACCCGAGATACAATAGCAGATTCTCCAGGTTCACCGGGATCACCATTAAAACCATCTTCACCAATACGACCCTACAATTTCATACGTGAATATTTGTAAAAATCAAATTTTTACCCATCAAATTAAAATTTGGTCATTTACTGACATCAAGGATATTTTATTAATTATTATTCAACATTGATGAAGGTAACTTTAGCTTAAAACAATTTATTTGAGTATTTTAATCATGAAATATTTAGAACGTGTGTTGATTTGTTCAATGATATACTATACACATGTAGAACTAAAAAACATTGATTAGAGTGGTTCTATGTAAAAAAATAAAGCATTAGAACTACAACGGACCCTATACAGCAGTCTTTAGATTCAATTAGGCGAATAAATGAAAATGAAATTTATTACATGAAACTATATTCAATACAGATGGATAATGTGTTTTCTCTCACTTGCTTCCAAAATCCAGACACATTTGGTCAACAAGAGTCAATCGGTTCAAAATCTGTGCCCAGATATTCTCCTCAGTCACTTTCAATCACTATATTAGGTCACTTAACTTAGTATCGACTTTGTATTTTTTTTCCATCAAAGGAACTCATTATGCAGTACTAGAGGACAAAAATAATAGAACTTATAAATTTAACCATCAATTTTAGAAAACAAAACATGAGAGAAAACACGGGACGTAGGTCAAAATTTTCATACTGTTTACTTTTAATCACTTAAAATCTATTTGTATATGTTCAAAATTACCACACATGTAGTCAGTCTGGGCACGTACCACATCGTTCTTTTGAAGAATAACATCCTTTTGTGTAGATATATATCTTATTCAATCAGATTAATCTTTCAAGCAGATCTGCCAAAAGTAATATGAACACTATCATAAACGGATGAATACTAAAGACTATAGCTTCTTCTGACAGCATTTCGCATTAACGAACATTGGAGTTTTAATAACTTACAAATGGTGATACATATAGGGAAACCATTAATCATTCCACTAGGTAAAAGGTAAGATAAGTGCTTAAAACGATGTAATTTTATGTAGTTTCTAATATATGATTTTATAATATGTAAGGAAAAGGTCAATAAAAACTTATTAATGATATGTCTATTATGACTCATCTATAATAATGAGTAATAAATGTTTTATTTCTGCATGCTATTCATTCACACAATAGTTGAATAAGTGAATATATTTGTACATTATAAGTATCATGTATTGTAAAACAAGTTTGTTTCTCAACAGAAATTCAAGCCTACTGTTTAGCAGTTTGTGTGGAATTGGAAAGATACACTTTTACAGTAGTTACGGATATGACAAACTAGAATTAAACAAATTTCCATCGTTAATTATTCCTGAATCCATACTAAGTACATACAATATGCTTACGTAATTTAGCAAATAAAAATTAAAAAAACTAAACTGATATCTATCATTTACATTTAGGACTGATTAAAGTTGGACAGGTATTGAAAACTAGGAAGCAATGAGAAGCTATTTCCTCTTGATATACGATTCATCAGAAGTGGGCATCCATGAACCAGCCAGAGCTCGAAACCAAGGTTATCGGTTTAGCGGAGAGTATTTAATCTCTAGATAGCTAAATAAGGTTGAAGAAGTATCATCATTGTTCATAATCGACACATAACTTGCAAGGCCAGCAAGATCTCATTGAGCCATAGCCTAATCGAATATCAAGCTGAACCTTTTCTACGCTACGCGACAGATCATCGAACTCTAGACAGTTTATCGACCATCGCCAAGGGCAGGGATGATTAACGAGGATCAATTAATAGCACCCCATAGGCTGGCTCTCGTGGTAATGATTATACATTGTATTTCTCTTACCTGTTCGTATAAATATGGTTATCCATTATTATCATGTTTGTTATATGGAGCCATCAAAGAAGCCACAGTACACGGATAACCCGAAAGGGTAATCTACGTTAGATACTGACCACGGGTTGTGAATTTGACGTAATCTATGAATTTACACTATCCTCTTCCAACTCGATTATACCGTCGATCGTCCACATAAATCACCTACATTGGTGATCTACAAATTCTTTTATAACTTGTTTTAAAAATAATCCCTAGAAATTAGACTGAAAAAGACTTGTGAAGTCAATCAGGTTATGAATGAGGACAGACGTCTACATAATTATCTTCATTCAATGTCACCTTGCATCACCCTCGACTTAACTAACTCTACAGACTCCAGAACATCTTCAAAGGTTTCATCACTAAATTAGTTATAAGTGAAAAGTTTATTATAATTTCCAAGATGATTTTATGGAATGCTCTCAAAATTTGTTATCAGCTTGCATAAGGTATTACCCTTAAAAATTTATCAAACTTTTGTGATACATTTCATTTTCATCATAGTTGTAATTTCTTACAAGTTTCAAATTATACTTTTATTTGTTTTATTATAAATGTTTTTCATTATCATGATTATTATTGCAGTAGGTAATCTGATTGAAAAAACTATCGTTACATTTATCTAATCATGATTGTCAGTTATGAATTTCTTCTTGATCCAAACAACAGTGAATCATTTCAATCTATTACTATTTTGTATTTCACAGATTGAAATCATGAGTCAATTGAAGCTAGACCACCATGGAAAACCTGGAAGCACTGGACAAACGTTTCGTCCTAGTAAGGGACACCTCAGTAGTACGCATTCACGACCCCGCACCCCGCGGGATTCGAACCCAGGACCTATCAGTCTCGCGCCAAGCGCTTAACCGACTAGATCACTGAGCCAGGTCTGTTGTGAGATGTCAACTCACTGAAGAAAATGGTATACGGTGGCGAAACTTCGTGGATTGGTTGAAGTTAGACATTAACACCGCTGGATACCGACTCAGCGCTCTAGTTGGTTAAGCGCTTGGTACGAGACTGATAGGTCCTGGGTTCGAATCTCGCGGGGTTTCGGGATCGTGGATGCGCACTACTGAGGAGTCCCATGCTGGGACGAAACGGTCTTCCAGTACTTCCAGGTTTTCCATGGTGGTCTAGCTTCAACTGACTCATGATTTCAATCTGTGAACTTTCTAAAATCTCCACAAACCCTTTCTGATATTTTGTATTTCTGTTTCCTTTAAAAAAAAGATGATGAATTACATGTAATTATGACCATTCACTAAAGAAGAAAACAACACATTTCATGTTCTAGTTTTCTTTCTTTTTTCAAGAATAATAAATAATTTTTTTTCATTTACTGTGAGAAGAAATTAGTTACATTTTGACAATTGTACCCACAACATTGAAATAAGATAATGTGACTTGTTGGAATTGCTTCTTTTTATGAATTATACTGTTATTGATGGTCATAATAGGTCAGTCAATAATTTAATAGCTCAACAACAACTTTGATTCTGACGCTGAGTGATATACATCCGCTCAGGAGGTGGGGTATCACTTCATGTTAAGAATGAAGAAGCACTTTTGTACTGCGTGCTAATCAATAAAATATATAGATCCAGGCCTTATAGTAGATTTCATTTAACCACCCAACATTTTACTAAGTATATTATGATATAAAATAGATCAAATTGACGTTCGTGATGTTATAACATTACAGAGGAGTGAGTTGGTGTAAAGAGATAACTTACTTTTTCACCTTTGGTTCCCGGTAGACCGATTAAACCATCTTCACCTAGTCGACCCATATCACCTCTATCACCTGGCATACCATCACTTCCTTTTTCACCATTTTCACCTGGATCCCCTATTTCTCCACGTGCACCAGCATCACCGTCTCTACACAAAGGACAAGCAGTTAACGGTTCACCTAGAAGAAAAGAAATAAAATTGGAAGATCATCATTATTATCAACTTAATTGAACAGATAAGTATAATATCCTCAGTTTATCAATGTGGTTAAATTCTATGTTTCTTTTAAAGATTAAGTAGACATTTTAGTGCATGGTTTTAATAATTATTCTGACTTCTAAACAATTCTGCCTTATGTATCTATCTCTTTTGGTTATTTATACATCTACTTCCTTGTATAAAATTTAAATTACTAAACTTGTTATGAAAATAGTTCATCCAAAAATAAGTTAAGTAAAATATTCAGAACTCCTTGAATGTAGGTTGATGTTATGGTACTTTAAACTTATCAACAAGGCGTATTTTCATTCATGAGGTTATTGGTATTACTGTGACTTTTAAACCCGAGTCGCTGAGTATCACGGTATTTATAACTGAACTAAACGAAAAACGAGTGACTAATGATATGTTTAAACACTAAATGATCACTAAGCAAAAACCGAACACATGTTGTTTAGTCATTAGTGGTAATCGAACTTTTTAACCAGGTTTTTATAAATGATTAGGTTCAAAAACTTGAAATTCTTGATGAACTTTGAAAGGAAAAGTAAGTTCATCTTATACTGTTAGTCCATTGTACTGAACATCAAAATTAGGAATGTTATCATTAGATTATTGTCGATCATACTTCTTCATAATTCCCTTAAAAGAATGTCTCCATATAATTATCTTTCGGTTCATCTGTTTCCTATGATTAAGTACCACACTTCTCGGTGAATGATATTAAATTTAAGATAATTAATAATCGAATACGATCAATACTAATTGAGTGCTATAGTTCATATTGATTTTCCGTAGTTCTATTAAAGTATGTGGAGTCTATCAAATCAGGAGTAAAATAATCATTCACTGTTGAAGCTGAATAAAGATATCACTGTATCACAGCTAACAGAATTTGGAAATGTAGACCAGTGGATTCCTACTCATTTATTGAATGTTATCATGTCGGTTACAATATTCAGTGTGTTGCTATATGTCCACACCTATTGAAACTCATAAACCTGGATAATACAATTATCTAGTACTTCTTCGTTTTCTACTATTCTCTAGTTTATTTGAAATTTATAATTTAGATCACTCAGATCTTTGAAAAAGAACAATTGTTCAATTCATTTTGCAACGTGATTTGACAAATGTTCTTTATTTTTCTACCTTACTAATAAGCAACTTTCAGGATAAACATAAATCATAAAGCATACCTTTTGGACCTGGAGGTCCAGGTTCGCCGTGTTTCCCAGGTTCTCCATCACTTCCATCATCACCGGGTTCACCACGAGGACCAACTGGACCGATATTACTATCTCCACCAAATCCTTTTTCCCCAGGGTCACCTTCTTCACCAGATTCACCTTAGTAACATAATAACAATTATGTAATAAGATCAACAAGACAAATTCATTACAGTGTCTCGAAACATTACCCTAAATGGCTGAGCGAAGGACAAAGTAGAACAACAAAAATCTTTATCCTCAAACATCTAGTTGACATAGGTTGCTAAGTTGATGCAAATATAGCATTCAGAATAGTATATCGAATCACATTCAACTTCTTTTATGTTTTCAAGTGTCACCATCTTCATAAATCAGAGGTCATTGGAATTCGCTTAAATAAACTTGACCTTTACATTCAGAAAATCTTTGCAAGGTCTATCTATTTGTCCTGGCCACCAAACTATATTCAAACGAACTTCTTTCATTTTCATTTTATCACTAGACAACCATTTCTGGGTGTAATGAGCTTGAGTAATTAACCGATTTGTAAAGGCAACTTTATATTCATCAGTCTCTACTCTTAATGAATCGTTGAAAATAACTAGATAACCCTTAATACCAAACTCATACTGCATGTACAGTAATAATACTATTCAGTATTTATCTCAAATAAAGTAGAAAGGATTCGATGGAACTTTATAGAGCACTTTATGCAAATTTCAAAAAGTTACGTATTATTTCAAACAAAATAGTCAAATATTATCAACAGGAATTTCAGTAATCCTATCAAGCAAGCACTCTGATTTGAAGCTTGGATGACTTCAATGAAGACAGAGGTTTTAAAAAATGATTAAAACGTTACCGTCTATTAAATAGTTCTTGTAATGACGTTATTTTTCACTCACCTTTAATACCACGTAAGCCTTCCACACCAACTTCACCAATTTCACCTAAATGACCAAAACCATCATCTCCAGGTAACCCTCTTTGGCCTGGTTGTCCTGGATCTCCATCAATTCCAGGTTGTCCTTGTGCCCCATTTTTTCCTGTAAAATAAAGAGTTTATAATTATTGTAGCTTACAGTAGTCATATACTTCACTAACATTTATGATGAATAACTTAATATCAAGTAAAGCTGTGCATAGAAATTTGCAAAATTTACATTGATGAATTCATTAGACTAACTTACCATACCAACCCTTAACACCTACAGGACCTTGTGGACCAGGCTCACAAATTTTACCTTGACTTCCTCTTATTCCTTTTGGACCTTCATCGCCTGGGACACCTTTTTCTCCCTGATCACCTGGTAAGCCAGGTTTTCCTTGAGTTCCCTTATCACCAGGATGACCTGGGAGACCTTTCTCACCTTTTGGGAAAAACTCGATTGGACAAGTAGCTTTCTTAAAAAAAAGGAAATAAACGGATACACAATTGAAAAACGATCAATTTAAATGAATAAAGAAATTGGAGGAGAAACAGTTCACTTATCAACTTATCAAAAACTGATTGAATAAAAGTACAGAGAAGTAAATTATTGGATTATTTTAGAATAACAATTTATGTATTCAAATTTTAAATAATGTTCTGCATTCGCTTCACTTCAATATACATCTAATAATTCACCTGATCCATTGGAGTAAAGTATAATGATTGAACATAAGATTTGTTTTTAAAACATTGTTCTTGGGTACATACCTATTTTCATATGGGTTCACAAATGAAATGTCTCACAACTCAAATCTGAATTATTTTGGACAACTGATTAATCTGGAAGTAAATTTAATATTATGTTTCTTGTTTGTGCATACTTTGTGAAAATTGTAAATCATAAATTACGTTTGACATTCATTAACTATGTCCAATAAATAAACACATGAATAATCATTTGAAATGATGAAGACTTAATTTTATAGTAAAATTGTTAAACTGCAGACTATTTTAGAGAAACTAGAACGAGTAAGACAGGAAGGTCTTTTACTTTCTTACAAATAATTTGTGTATTTCATGTTTAAACCGCTAGTTTCTCAATTATGGCTGAACATGTCATAGTAACAAATCAAGTCATAGGCTTGGTAGTTTAAGTACCCAAACAAATTGTCGTAAAACGACGATCCAGTCGTTTTTAGACATTATTCACCTGTTAAGGTTAGAATGTACATAGGTTTAGGCTTGTACACATGGATGTTAATTTTATGCAAATTTCAAATCACGATAGTTCCCCAGTGGATCCCAGTCAAAAATCCAAAACTATCTTCAGACCAAGCAAATCATCGCAAACACCAAATTAAATTCCAAGTTCCCAACACTATAGCAACTGTTAATTCTTTAATTATTTTGCCTCGTCTAAGCTTAACAACGAGTATTTTAAATACAACATTTATATATTTAAAGACTAATTCAAGCCTAACCTATGTGTGTATAATAGTATTTCCAATTCCTCATTTTTCCATATTATTGTCCTCCCTTTCTATCTACCATAACCTATCAAGTGGACAATGATCTTCACTTCAATAATTTTTCCATTAGCCAGTAATTAAGTAACTTCCTTTCAATATCTGGTTTTTGCAAGCAACTCGTTACATGACATCACATCAAGTTATTTTATCATAGACTTCTATTTTTAGAAAATAAATTAACTATGAATACGGTTTTTCAACTTATGTAAATGAAATTATCAAAAAGAAGATTCTCTTCGTTGAATTGTTTTTATTCTTCTTCGATGACACAATGGGTCATTTTCCATATTTATAAATCCAGTATATTAACGACTGTAGTATATTTATATACTTGATATAACTATATATTCTAGGAAGAAAGTTACTGAAAGCAACTGTTTTCCCCAACACAACTTGCTTCCGACTTTTGATTGAGAATTATTTTACGGGTATATTCAAATTTATTTCAATTTTATTGATATTATGAGGATAAAAATAATTACTATATATCAATTTAGTTAATCAGAAATCTAAAAGTAATCAGATGATTCGAGGACATACCCCAGGGATTCCAGCTTGGCCTGGATCACCTTGTAAACCATCACGACCATGTGGACCTCGTTCACCTTTATCACCAATTGTACCTTCTGGTCCAGGTGGACCATCAGAACCTAAATTACCCTTTTTTTAAACAAGATCAAACAAAATAATAATACAGAGATTAAAAATTTCAAATTATCACAACATAAAACAAAATGGATTTCAACAAACAATATAAAAATAAATAAAGTTACTGACAGATAAACTGTCTTTAGCTTAAATTCTTATCTATATCTGTTTAACTATATCTATTCCTTTGAGGTACTGTTTTATGACTGGCACCTGTCATAAGTATATCACGCTCTCCACTTTTTCACCGCGATAGTTACTGTGTCAGTTTATTTTTCATGTGCCAGATGTATTGCGAAAGTTATTGATGATAATATTATTATTATTGTTGTTATCGCTAGTTACTCTTTAATTTTGTTTACATTAACTCGGATATATTATACAGGGCTTAGAGGTAATTTTATACAGAAAATTATTTAACGAAACCAGGAAAACTCGTTTTTTTTTCAGAAAAGTAAACAAAATCAAATGAAGAATTAAAGATAACACATTGAATATTGGCCAAACGTAAATCAACGATCAATACTGATAACATTACAAACTGAATTGATCTCAATGTATTTCGATATTATCTGATGGTATAGTGAATAGGTGGATAAAAGGGTTAAATGACGCACTTCTTATTACATTCTCTGATGGTAAGTGCTGAATTAACTAACTGATATTGAATCAGTTTATGTTGTTTGTTGCTCAGGCTAAACAGATCTAATGTTTGAAAGTTGGAAAACAGTGAATTACATATCCACAGAATCTTTGGTTAACTACTGTAATTTATATGCCTTTAATCAGCTGTATATGTAAATCACAACTGCTCCTCCACATATATACATCTCCATAAATAGTGGTGAAATTCTTAGAATTTTAAAACTAATGCCTAATCAAGTTAAAAAGTTATATAAACAAGATATAGTACTTAGTATATATATTTATCTATTTTAACCATATGCATTTGAAGGAATGATATAAATTGGTGGATTGTAATCAGTACAGTGAAAACGTGGGAATATAATGTAAAATTGGAAAATACCATTTCCAGTGAACAGTAATAATAGCAATAGTATCATGAGAATTAAGAAGTGTATTGTTTATTAAATATTTCATAGGAAGTGGAAGAAACTCCACAGCTAAGCATTAAATGAGTTAGAGTTAGTGTGCTATTCACACAATCCCTATTCTAAAAACCTTATCCTGATGAACACTCGCATGAGTGGTTGGAAAAAATCAGTGACTAGATCTCGAAATAATACCATTCTTTATTATCTGGTTGGAAAGTACTGTGGAATTAAAATGGTGGACCAATTCTACAGTTTAAAAATGTTTCGTATAATTCCAACAAGTCATCATTATTATCTCTTCTAAACGAAAAAAGCCATAGATATATCTAACTTCAAGAAATAGTATTCTTATGTTCAAGGTAGTACATTTAGTTCCCCTGTTTGGTCTGATGATTCTCTATACTGATTTCCACTTGTCAAAATATAGATTCACTACATCAGTACGTAACACTGAATGATTCAATCGAACGCTGATCGTTATAACACAGTTTTGATTAATTTATGATCATAGAAAATGAACTGAAATTGAATGTTCGCTCAAACTTTCCTTCTTTTGTGAAAGTCCTGAGCTACAAATCTTCACCTTTTTAAGTGAATAATGCTTATGCGAAAGGAGAGTATGAAAAATTGAAAATATTCAGTGACTAAAACACAAAAAGTAATTGTGAACAGTTAATCTGAAAGTTGAAATGAAGACCATATGATAGTAGTTAAGAAAAAATTATCGATAGTAACCATAAAGAAGAAGTAAAAACACTGGTGCACGTATTATATGAGGGTTAAATCGGATAATGTTATAGTTACTACAAGGAGATCAGAATCTGTTAAAGTTAATATACATTTAGGAAAAACATTGCAACTAGTGGACCACATTCACTACTTACTATCGCCTTAGTTAATACAACATAATTTTAGTACTAAGTATATGAGGACTTTCCTTCAATTCGTACAGTGACGAGCACTGACACTGTTTACTCATTATTCAAACTATACGATATCTGATGAAAATCAGTTTAATTTGAAAATTATTTTCGTCATGGACTGACATCATTTAAAGAATCATTAAAACCAATGAGAACTATATAGCTGTTTCATCTTAATTTAGGACCTCAGAACAATATGTACTCACGAGCCTACACCTAATTAAACCCACAAACTTTATGTCATGGGATGATCTTGTTGTATTTAAATCATCAAGCTGGAACCCAACTTTACGATCATCATCTAACATCATCAATGATATCTCACTGACTGACAGTTTATGTAAACTGAAACTGTCAGGCTTATTGTCAGAACTCTATGATTTCATTTTGAAGCCTGCCACACCTAAATAAATGATCATTTTCATTGAACTATTCTTCATTAATATTTATTTATAATTATACAAAACAATCTAGTACATAGAATAGTTAGTTTGTTTACTTCTGAATAAATTAGCAAAAGAGTGACTGAATTAATTCCATCACTATAAATAAAATCCTGTATTGTCATCTTTTACAATATGTAGTAATACAATTTAAAACTTTTCTTGTGTTTCTAAAGCATTTGAATAACTGTAAGTATTTATGATAGAATCTAGAAATATATTTTGTAGATAGTTTCTTTTAACTGATACACAAATACACCTACTGGTTGTCCAATCGGGCCCACATCACCATCTTCTCCAGGATCACCCTTGTACCATAAAAGAAAGAAATGACATGAAGGATTATCATAATACTATTTGATTATATATTATAAACAAAAAAGAAAAAAACATTCACCGTGTTATTTATGCTAATCATTTCCTTTAAGGGTAGATAATGTCAGGATTTATAATTTTTAAATTTTACTACTTAAATAAATCATTATCTCTATAAAACGCTATGAGATCACATTGTATAATACTTGGTTATTTCTTTACTATATTTAAGTCGTAGATATATACATGATGCTTTTATTAATCTTCAAAAACATGTTCATACATAACCAAAGAACAATCTTATTTCTTAAACCCATTTTCTCTTAAGAAAACAAATAAAAACACACTTCTGATGAAATATTTATGATTGGATTTTCACAGGATCGTAGATCTAGAAAATGCAAATGAACACAACGTTTTATGTTTTGGGATGGTCATTTATTGAAGGACAATTTGAATTCACGAGTTTATGAATTTAGATTGTTGAAGAAAGTAATAAACAGTGAAATTTTTATAACTCTATGGTGAAATAAGCTTTTTTAATGAATAAATGAACGATAAAAAATTCTTAGAACTTTTTTATTTAACTTGTAGGGCTTCTATCAGTTTTGCTTAAAAACTTGAATGCAGTCGTTTTCTTTTTCTAAGTTGTTTCGAAATTAAATCTTGTGTTAACTAGTGTTTCCGTAACAATAAACTGGTAGTAATCTATTTAGAACATGATTTAAAGTTGATTGCTTACAAAATATGATCATTACATGTACACGAAGATGTAGAACCATTTGGTTTAACATATGGGTGGTTCGCATCATGGACTGATATTATTTGTGGTACAATTAAAGGTCAGTGAACACTGAATTGCTGCTTCATCTTAATGTGGGAATCAGCAATGAAGACTCACAACTCAACTAGGAATCAAACTAAAAACCCCCATGGTTTTGTGGTGTCCATCGAACCGTTTCACCACTGTGTTAGAATTAAATGGATCAAATATTCAACTTCAATACATTCGTAACCATCCGACGCCATTGATTATAACCGTCTTATTCTTAATATAGATGATACTTTCCTGACTCATGAAATAATTGGTATAAAGCAACAAATATTGTAATATTTTTGTTAACAATCATTTTCTCCTAAATAAATTAATAGCTCTAAATAAACTTACATCTAGTCCGGGTTCACCAGGTTCACCTTTTTCACCAATTGGTCCTTCTTCACCTTGTAAACCCTATTTTATTTATTATAAAAATATAAATAATCTAGTATGAATATAAACCATCTTATAAATATAATAGAGTAATTCGAAAAACTCATCAATAATTTATTTGTTAAAATGATGTAATTTATTCAATAAGATTCTAAAACGACTACGGAGATGGTGACTGACGTGTCGATTTGATTCACTGAACCGATTCCTTGAAATAACTAGTTACCAATTATCTGAGTAAAGGATCATGTAATATTGAAAGAAAATTCAGGTTATTAACTAGTTTGTCTGAAAGATGGATGACTACGGCTTACTCATCATTCATTAATCAACAAATAGGCAGGAATGATTTGTCACTTTAGATCGTAGTAACAAGTGAATCTCCTTAGTTATTTACTCGAAATGATTTGGCTTCATACATCCTGTTCTTTATTCTGTTATAAAAATACTGTATAAATGAATGACAAAAAAGGTGAATGAGACATTCTATTCTAAATAATTTCTGGGTTTACTTTTTGAATCTTACAATTTGGACCATATTCTAAGGTTCTGTTCAGATGCTAAAATACTTGATTTAAATCGACCATATTATTAATACATTGGATTTATAAGCTAAATTATAGAAAGAGTTTTTTTAATAATTGGTATTTTCCTTAACATTATAATAAAATGAGCTTACCATATCACCCTTATCACCTGACTCTCCACTGTCACCTTTAGGTCCTGGTGAACCCTACATGAAAACAAACGTTAAAAACAATATGAACAGTTTTTATATATATTTATAAATAATGAACATAATTAAGAAGTGGTAGGAAGCTCTATGCTAAGGCTTTAAGACAATCTGGATCTAAAAGAGAGCTGATGCTCTTTTCACGTGTAGAGACTACAAATTATCGACCGTTTAGCTAATCAGTTGTTTAGTTATAGCATCTACTTCCAGTCAAGCCTACATCAATTATTCTGGTTTTTGAAAAGACCAGTTAATTTTTCTTCTTTGTACATTACCAACACACGCCCAGACCTTATCAATCACTCGTTTATAACCTTAACTGTTTTTACATGAGTGTATGCTTACTTCACTCATCCTATGTCTTCAGTTTAGTTTTCTGTATGACTATATGTAATGAGTCACGCTTTGTCAAATGCAGTTGGCACAATCTACATCGGTTCTTCGTTTTGCTTTCCTACTTCTCATCTTCATGTCTGTATAGTTGAACGAATATCTAAAATCAGTTCATCCAACTTAATCCGTATTTGACTTCTTGTTACCACCGTCGCTCAAACGACCTCAGTTTGGGTATAATATATAAAAAGTCAAGTGGAAGATACACTAATTTCTATTCATTTTTTCACTATACTCACCTTCAATTCTCTATTTCCTCGCAATTTCATTCTTATTATATGGTGCATATATATTTGGTGCCCACCTTTTACCAATGTTCATGTATTTAAGTAAATCAGTACACTGACAGAACAAGTTCTGGAACACTTAGACAATAAAATACTATTCATCGCTGATTCCCCCCAAAAAAATTGAGGGCAAGTAAATTTCGTATTTTAAAACTGAAGTTCTTTAGTGTTTGTATTACCCAACTTTTGGTATCCAAGATCAGAATTTGATTATTTTTTGTTGATGTATATGCACCCTAAAAGAATGCCATGATATTCATTTCCTGTTACACATTTTAACATACATTTGGATTGTGGCTAGCAATCCCATTCAGGATGTATATTTTGACCAATTTGAGATTCATCAACTAGATGTACCTGGACTTCTATTGATATTCAAACCTTTCAAAATTTTGTTAAATTAAACTACTTTGTTTTTGTAATTAAATAGTAACAAGTGCTCCATATGTGGAATTTACTGAAACGGACATTTTGAAAAACTAGAATACCACCTTATAATTAAAACAATATAACCTAACTTTCAGTTAATAGTTATTGTCTTATAAATACAAGAATTAGAGAGAAACTAATTGAAAGAAAACGTGCTACAGAAACTAGTCACTAAGCCTTATTAGAGTCATTAATTTGCAATCCATATATGCCTAGTATTTGACTGACGTACTATGTCTCCAGCTTGACCTCTTGTAAAACTGATAAGTTCTTCTTCGGTATATTCACGGTCCATATCTTCACATGGTTGACCATCTTGTCCTCGAGGACCTGGTTCACCACGATCTCCAGGAATTATATTCGTATAATTGTATACTCCACTTTCACCTTTAGGACCGATGTCTCCCATCAAACCTACGGCTCCCTATAACATAAAATATAATAAATATGAACTTTTGCATTTATACTTTATCCTTATAGTAAAAATGGATGTGTAATATTTTGACGTTCGATATAAAGCTGAGGAATTGACAAGTTTGTGAATGAACTGATGAATAACTGATAAATATGTGTTCGTAGCGGTCAAAAAATTTTACAAGATGGAGTTTAAAGATAGCATCTCATAAAGACTGATATCATCTAAGGAGGAATAGGAAGCCATTATCATGAGTGCTGATTATTGAGGAATCACAACTGTGAAGAGATCTATTACTACCTGATTTCGGTCGTATTCAAACGGTAAGAAAAGTTTCCTTCCAAATGAACCTAACTCAATAGATCACCAAACTAAAAAAAACATTGTTAAAAAATTTGAATGCAAATGGTTGTATTTATGATCAGAAACAAAATTCGATTAAAGAGCACAATCAATGGTAATTCCTAGCGTAGAAAATCTAAGTACTTAGTACACAATACGAACTGATAATTGAAATTTTTTATGCATTTGAATGAATCAGCAGTTTGAACCGTTAAGTCTACCTCATTTAGATATCAAATATGAAATGTGAGGCTAATTTATATTTTGAATTAACGTTAGATGATAGAAATTATCTTCAAATTATAATGAGTTATTAAATAACCACTTAATTAAAATACATTATAAGAAGTTTTTAGTTATATGGGTATTATGTCCCGATAAGCATAATAAATGGTATCTATTGATGGACCAATAATATGCGTATATTTTTATCATATAATTGTTAAATAACTAAACTGTTCATATTCCTATCCCTCTTATCATGAGCTTTATTTTGACCTATGAACTGTTATTGTACGATTTACCACTCTTGAGTTATGGCCTGTCTGTCGAATACTACCTCCCTCATTCACAGCCACATTTGGTTAAATCTTGTACAACTGTTGTTTCCTATTTTATGGTACGATGTGGTCTGTCTGGTTGGTTTATAAATCGAGTATGTTTGGAATAAATAATTCATATCGCAGAGGCTGAGATTGGTGTTCTGGACTTGACTGGCTGGGCTAGGCGGAAAGCAGGACCAATAAGGACTCTAAACTGCTCGTACGGGTTTTATGCGTCATCGGTCTGGTTGATAATCCGCTGCTCTCTAATTAGAGGTATCATTACGTCATACATTAGCAGGACACTCAAGTCACAAGTTATAACAATGGGTTAGGAGTTTGGTTAGACTTAATAACGTATTGCCTTACAGTTTGGTAGATCTGTCCAATTATTAGCATATTACAAATTTTTTTAAAGTTACAAAATCGGTTTGCGGAAATCATAGATTTATGGAAATAATGAAAATATGATCAGGAAAGTAATGAAGAACAAAAATATGGTATACATCAAGTCGAGGAAGGAAATTTATAAATATAATACGAAAATCTTACCAATACTTACAATAATTATATAAAATGAATGTATTTCTACCACTATAACTGCTTTTCAACAATATCGTCTAGGCATGTTCAACAGACCCCATTCATGAAACTCACGTTTCCTTCAACTGACTATTAGTGACTTAATCGATGAATGTTTTACTTTAGTTTAATAACATACTTGCTTTTCTCCTACTCTTTTGAGTCTAGGTAGAATACGATGCGAATTCGGCACAATATTTATATGCTACACCGAGGAATTATAGTGTACGATTTAACTGAATGAATGTCTCTACGTGTAACATCATCATTGTTAATTTCATTGTCAAGATGCCTGTTTTCACAGTTATAAAATAGAGTGTTACTTCTCTTCGCTCAATATATTTTGCGCTAAACAAATGGTAGTTTGAATTTACTCGAAACAATCCTAAATACTATAAAGATTTCAACTGGAGACAATTCAGCCAGTGATTTATAAAAATACATGCACAACCATATAATAATTCATTTTTTCTTCCGAGAAGTATTATAGAAATGAATAATCTAAAGAGCATATACGAGATAAAAACTATATTATTAGTTTTATGATAGAGTTTTGATAAGTGTAATATGACTGTATATGATATTAGGTAAAGAAAGTCATCTTAACTAAACCATGTTGTCAAATATTAATATATGTCAATGGAATAAGATGAAGGGATAATCTTATTTTCATGACTAATAGTTGTACAGTACGTACTTTGACTTATTAATACAAAATGTGAACAAGTATATATATTGTCATGTCAAATCGGCACATGTCAATTCAAATAACAGACAAGGACAGATAAGGCTAAAAGAGCCTTTTAGAAAAATATTTACATCATTTTTAGAAAGAAACCGTAGTATAAGTGATATTATTTCAATGATTACAGTATTCTTATCACTATTGTTTGTTCCATATGAAACGTGTATAAGAAATGAGTGAATAATGGAAATTTTGTGATAAGATTATGAACATTTGATTAATCTGAAGTCTGTTTACTTTATAACTTTTATTAGTTAAGGCTAATTTACTTAATATTTGGTTTGCTAGTTTTCATCTTGATGATAATGTGAATAACTTTATCCAGAAACTCAGTTCCTGGATAGTATCATGTTTGTTTAAAAAAATGAATGAATCCCATATAAGGTTGTTCGTACATAGTTGGCAAATCCTTATTTATTGTTACATAATACTTAATCAGTCTTATTCAAAAGTGCCAATAAAATCGACTGATCAGAAACAACAATTTGTAGGTGAGTGAAAAAAGATGAAAGTATGAAAATACGCTTGATAATGAGAAAAATGAAATAAAATGGGATGAAATCCATGTGTAACTGCGAAAATGGTTTTTTTATATACACTGGTTATGTACAAAATAGATGGTAATTCAAAGTGATGTTTTAGGGTAAATGCTGTCGTATTAATGGTATTCACTTACGTATACACGCCTAACTAATGATCTATGCTTTAATTACCATTCCCTATAAATACTTACTGATTCTCCTTGAGGTCCACGTGGACCAGGAAGTCCATCTTCCCCATCAAGTCCTGGCAAACCCTGAATAAGAGAACAAAAATAAATGATATTGTAGATGAATGTAAAGTCTAGAAGACATTCCAGATGACCCATTCCTCTTACTCACGCTAATTAAACAACATATTTCGTTAAAAATGTATTTCATTCAATATCAGTTATTAACAGAAATGACTGATTAACCCTCTGTTAGTATCTTTGAAATAAAAGACGATCTATGAATATCAGATGCGTTGCTATTACTATTATATACTGTAAACAAATACAAATGTAATTTTTAAACATTTTCTTGGTTACTATTGACATTTATATATCAAATGTATTTGTCATTTAGTTATAACCCACCGCGTGACTTCAGATTATCAATAACCGAAATACAACCAGGTGAAGAATTGTCTAATGTCAAATAGCTTTTAATTTCAGATAGAAATAAGTTTATCAGCGAGTCATATTAATTTCAAAACTATCTAAAGGTGAGATTTTATTCTTCTTTTAACGAAAATTATATATTGTTTAGTAAGGAATCATGTAAAATAAACTAGGTTTCTGTTTAATTATTAGAATATCTGTGATGTATTATTAATTTAGGACAGTAAGAGAAATAGCAAAACGCTCATTTATTAAGATATCAATCACTTAAGAATAATAGTAGATGAAAAATAAATGGATAGGGGAAGTCGTTTTTACATCCTAGTGGATTTAATTATGGGTAGATTAATTTGGATATGAAATTAACCAACGTAAAAAAAGGTAAACACTTCTAGCTAAAGTGTGCTGATGAGGTCGTCCAGAGAAATGATAAAAGCTCCACGACCAAACCATCCAGCTCTGAGAAAAAAACCGCATCAAAATCATCCACCTCAGCTACTAGTCTTCCGAACCACTTCAGTGTATCTATGAATTTATTTTAAACATATAGATTTAAATCTGAGTGGGCTTCAAAGGCTGAAAGTGTATATAAGAAGTTAGACCTTTAATCACCAGGTAGAGATGAATGTAACGGAACCTTAGTACATTTTATCAAAGATTTTAATTTGATGAAATTGATGATCTAGTTCCCAGTGGATCAAGTAAACATATGGAGATTTTAATGAATAGTGAGAATTAATATATATGAAACTGATTACCACTGGTTACGTAATTCATACAGGTAGCAATTGTAATTAATTACCCATGAATAAGAAAGTAGCCTGAACAAACTGTCTTATTAATTGTATATCTATATTTAGTTAATGTTTCTTTGTAACAATTAGTATCAGATTTGACATATCACTTCGCAAAATCTAGAAAGACAATTTTCATAGAAGGATGAAACCTTACACACAACCTGTACTAAATCAAGATTTATTATCTAAATTAGTATCTAAATTATTATTCCAGACTAGAATTATAATAGAAAAATTATTATTTTCCTAAACTGTTCATTTAATTATTATTTATTTTCAAATTAATTAGTACTTGGGAATAATTTAGTGTTTAAATGACATAGATTAGAGTTTGAAGTTAATTTATAGAACCTATCAGTAAATGCTGTATTTCTATGACGTTAATTTTATCTTGTATGTATTTATTATTTTTTATTATTTAAACACATAAACATTGGTACAAGAAGGCACCAAATATATATGCACCACACAAATCACAACCTGGGTGCCAAAACTGAGGCAGATGGTTCTCGTAGAGAGCCACACACCAAGACTTCGACCTAAACGTCTAATCCACAAAGCAGTGGAGTTACATCTGGAGATGCGGTCCCATGCTAGCCAGTGACCAACAATAGGTTTATATAGTATTTGTTTCCTTAGGATCATGGAGTCCATGTGCACCACTGATTTGGAATTAGGGCTTTCCAACTAACTCCCTCAGATGGATCCTCTGTGTCCATCAACCTTGTTAGAGAGTCGGACATTTGCTATTCGTCGTCTCAACACCGTAAACAACACCCCAGTCACGAGAAGGCAGTGAGTAGGATTTCCCTGACAGTGGTCGTATGCACGTGGCCATATGAGAGCGTTTCGAGAGAGAGAGTGTGTGGACTCTCCCCACTCTCGGCCGTACCAGGGCATTTGAGGGCCATATTGTATGTAAAATTATCGACGAATTATTTACTAACATTTTACATTGATGAAGAAGACAATAACATACATAAAATGTCAGAAAAATCGAAAAGTAATTATCAATATGATACCTTTAAATCTTGATTACATGCGGTGGTAACTAACTGTTGAAATTAATACACCTACCGCTCAATTTAAGTTCATTAGTCCCATATACATTCATTGATGTTTTACATAAGACTCAAACTCAACGCCCAATGCTTGAAAATCTTGATCATTACTCATTACACTTGAGAGTCACTATAAGTATCTCTTAGTTTCAGTGATGAAATCGTTCTTCGTAGTACAGATTTATCTAAATGGCGAGTTCTAAATAAGATAAGGTATCTGTCGTAAGTTTCGTTATTATAATGTGTTATCACAACTAACATCACGGTATCAATACATTAGGGCGATATTACAAGAAGCATTGGTTTACTTAACATTAAACAAACGAAGAGCGATCCAACTCAGAGTATGTAATAGTAACTTACATCTTCTCCAGGTTCGCCAATGTCACCTGGTTCTCCCTATAAATAAGCAAGAAAAAGTATTTAATTATATATATATTCACCAATAACGATAAGTAAACATGGATATTGCATTCGCGAACTGTGAGAATGATTCGCTAATTTACATTTGAAAACAAATCAAAAAGATAGGACAATGCAGTTTGTTTTTTCGCAAACAAAATGATGTTAAATTTTTACTAAAGAAAATCAATAAGAAGCTGTTTAACATATTTGTACTACATATTAACATGTACCAAAAGATTGTGTCTGTAGCTTTAGGAACACTGAATTTGTTCCTTAGACTTTGTAGGTTCTTAGCTTCCATCAGTCGAGAAAAGGATAGAGCCATCAGGTTGTTAATCCTCACAGTATCCGAACAGGATGAGTTTCCTTGTATATTATTGAATTGAACCTTGAGCTCCGCTCTTGGTGGTAACTTTTAATCAACTACTCTAAGTTCCAGTACTTGACAATACTCCCTTTGGGGCCCAAAGACTTGAGAGTTTACCTAGCACAGCCCGCGAAGAAAATTATAGAGCAAACTGAGATGTCCAGGTGAAATCATTTATGATCAAGGTTACAACGCTATCCAACAGCTTTCGAAACTGACTTTGACTGCTGATCAGTGAGAACATAATTAGGAAACCCTCCTACTGGGATTCGTCTGGTGGTGACTCCAGGATTTCATAGCTAATACTCCCATAAAAACTTCTCTGTCTCTCTCTCTTACCCATTACTTTTGGCCCAAAAACCAGTATCTCATCATTCCATACAAAACTTGCAGGCTCATAAGCCTTCTCTGAGCACCCATATTTGTTGAAAGTAAAGATCCTGACCTTTCCCGACACTCGTTTTAATGTATCCGGAAGCACTGATGAATTAACTAATAGTTATACTAAAACAAATAAACAGTTTACTGTAGATTCCTAATCACCAAGTTTATTCGGGGTTCCTCTTTGAAAATAGATGAAAAAATATTACAATAAACTTCTGGGTTGAATTTCGGGAACATTTTAAGACTCATTGTCATATATAATTTATAAGTTTCTTAAATTAAAGACCTAATTTGCTTAAACAAAGTAAGAACAACAAGATTTGCAGAATAAAATGAATTTATTCTTTTCCACAGTTTCTCATCAGACCCATAATGTCTATTATGAACTCACTATATCATGAGTTGGCTCGGTAGCTAGCCACATTATTATAACCCATTCATAGAAAACTGGCGACATGTTTTAGTTTTCCAAAGAAACGGATCAATTGAATATATCAGATAAATTCATGGTATCTTTTGATGTATGTTCATTATTAACGAGTATACTATTAAAAGAAACTATTAATATAATGTACAAACAGTCTGAATTACTTTCTTTGTCTGAAAATGAGCTGAGGAAATTATTACTACTTTGCATGAAGGGAATGCATTTCCAATTCAACAACCAACTATACAAACAAACCAATGGAGTGGCCATGGGATCACCACTAGGGCCTATTTTGGCCTACATTTTCACGGCTAAAAAGTGGATATCCGAAGAAGTTTACTACGAAATACGTAAAATATCCCAGGGATGATGAACAACCAACTGTTAGGAAAAAACCTGTTTTCATCCCCCTCCCGTTCAAGGGAGATATGATTTCAGGAAGAACCGATAGAGTCAAAGCAGAGATAAACTGAACCTTCCCCGCTTCTCATTTAGTTTCACTATACAACACCAGGTGTTCTTTATACCATTCAAAGGTAGATCAATACCCTTCTGACGTCACCTTCAATTGTATCTACGAATTCACTTGTACCTGCCATAGCAGGTACATAGGAAGGACGAGAAGAAGGGTCTCTACAAGGTTTTCTCAACACGTTCATAGGAACCTACGTCCGAAAGGGATTAAAATCTTTACAAGTGCAATCCTCAGACATCTCGATAGTGGACACAAATAGAATGTAAGTGATGCATTCAAAATAACCAACAGACAAAAAACACCTATCTTACTCCGTTTTAAAGTTGTGATCGCTATCAAACCTTTGCCAACCTGACCTATGTAAACAGAAGGAAAGTTTGATTAGTCTTACCCTGCCATGATGATCGGACGTTTGTCTGCTAACCCTTGCTAATCTCAATTTTTCAACCCGGTACCCAACCTTTTATTATTCTTCTGATATTTCTCTCTTACATAATCTGACTAATGTTCACATATTTGTCTATTTTATCATGTTGAATGATTACCTAATCACTTCTTAATTTCATCACCCTTACATAACCTCTTAATTAATGCCTCCCAACATATAAATACACATCGATCTTGACAATGTTTATTCATACACTTTATATCTCTATTCTTCTGACTACTATGGCTCTCAGAAGGGGTTTTGTGGAGATTGGTTGAAGTTAGACATTAACACCGTTGGATGCCGGCTCAGTGGATTAGTTGCTTAAGAGCCTGGCGCGAGACGGATTGTTCCTGGGCTCGAATCTCGCGGGGTGCGGGATCGTGGGTGCGCACTGCTGAGGAGTCCCGTACGGGGACGAAACGGCCATCCAGTGCTTCCAGGTTTTCCATGGTGGTCTAGCTTCAAATGACTCATGATTTCAATCAGTGATATTATGATTCTGGTTACATGCTGAACATTTATTTAAACTTCACAAAATAAATAATTGTTATTTTAGGTTATATGCAGCTAATGAGAAACTGTCAAATAGAATGAATTCACTTTATTCTGCAAACCTTGTTGTTCTTGCTCTGTTTAAATTTATCAAGGGATCTGGTTGTATAAAACTCGCCCAATTATTAATTCAATCTTCATTTTAGAAGTACTGACACGTAGTGTATAATCAACTGTTGATGCGATGCAAAAATTTATTAGCTAGTGAAATTTTATTTCTAAAATAGTTCTATATAATACAAAATGATAAAGATAACCGTTTTATTAATTCAGAAAAAGTGAATGAATTACCTTCTCACCCATTAATCCTTGTCTTGAGCCTCCAGTGTATCCTTTAGGACCTTTAGTTCCTGGTTCACCAGGTGTGCCTATTATACCTGGGGCTCCAGGTTCACCTTGCTCACCATTATCTCCCTAAACGAAAAATAAATAAATAAATAGTGTACTTTCTTTGGAATCGGGTTCATCAATAATCTGTTGTATTAAAGAGAATTTCTATCCGATTGAGTTAATTAGTTTATCAGAATTCAATAAATAATAATTAGAACCAAATTATGAAAAATGTAACATGTAAAGAATATATTTTTATATATCTTACCGATTCACCATCACATCCACTATCTCCTTTATCCCCTTTCTCTCCTCGCATACCAGGATGACCCTTTAAAAAGTATAACATTTAATTTAACTAGACACTTACTGGATCACCATCGTTACCGGGATGACCCGGTTGACCAGGTAAACCCTGTAGAATTGAAAGAATTCTGTAGAAGTTACGAGGTAAAATATGGAGATCTTTTATTCAGCAAACAGACTTGAAACAAATCGTGAATAACTAATTAACCAACTTCAGACCATAACAACTTTATTATTTAATGTTCATTAAATATTGTTTGGTTAGCTACAGCTGGATACCTTCCAGTTTCCGTTTACAGGTAGATGAATTTTCTGCTTTAATATCGACTTACTTAACATTTAAATTACCCAGACCAATGTTATTTGTCGACATTTTCAAAATTAAATAATCTCATACACCAATTCCGAAGAAGAGTACTCTATTGATTCTAAAGATTGTTAATAATTCGAAAAACAAGATATCTAATAAGTATTAGTTATTTCAGGTTTCTCATGTAACAGATATAAAGTTATAAATAGCGAGATTCCTCATTATATAAAAAATTAATATAATATATATATATGCAAACCTTTTCACCTCTTGGACCCAATACACCGGGAATTCCTTGTTCACCTTTCTCACCTGGTGATCCACGAAGTCCAATAAGACCTACATCGCCTGGAGGTCCCTCCGAACCTCGTACACCTATTGGACCAGGTTGCCCCTGTTCAAAGTTATACATTTGTAGAACAATTAATCATTTATTAGTTCTGATTTAGGTAAGGATAATAGTAATAAAAACACTCAATGAATATTTTCGACCATAATTTCCATAAATATCTGGACGTTATTAAAACAGGTTTATTAAAAAAAAGTGATTATAGTTGTTCCAATATATACTATTGAACGAAAAAACTGAAAACTAAAGACACTTTCAGTATGACTTATCGAGTAGGTGGAAACGACCTGAGAAAGTATTATTTCACTTATTTAAAAAGAAACTCATCCAATCAACTTATTATTAATACTCATGGGAACAATTTGTTTAGAATTCTTATTTAAATCCATTCCATGAACCGAACAATTTATATTTGAAATACTTATAATTGCTATTCTTCATTTCCGGGGCACTCAGTAGGATATCAAAAACTTTCTTTATATTGCGACTGACACTTATCAATAGTTTGTTACTTAAATCTTGTGAAAATTAATGTTCTTCCAGAGATCCAGAACTGTATCACTAATCGGTCAAAGATTTTCTCATATATGCTGATCGAATTCTATCAATCATATACAGTGATATTTTAGTTGTTTCGGTAGCACAATTTTAACCTACTGTCATCAATAACAAAATTCACTGATGATCACAACTGAATTGTCATAAATTTATTTCTGTGCAGTGGAGTACTAAAAGAATGTTTATACGAAAGATGCATTCAATATATCATACTATACCTTTAACAGTACCTAACGGACAAATAAAGACAATGGAATAACTAAAATTATTTAAATATCTAACAGATGAGTCAGGTTTTTAGGTATCAATATCAAGCTTGAACTTGATGGTTTCAAATAAATTGAGGATTGGGTAAAAGGTTAATAATAAATATACTTTTAATCAGAGAAGGGTATTATAGATATTATAATAAGTTAGTACATGAATTCATCTGTCAATCGAAGCTAAACCACCGTGGAAAGCCTGGAAGCATTGGACGATCGTTTCGTCATACTGCGAGGCTCGTCGGCAGTGTGCATCCACGATCCCGCCTCGCAAGATTCGGATCCAGGACCTATCGAATATTTATTTACTCTGAATAAGTGGCTTACGTCAAGTCACGAAACGTCAGAAATATAATCTTTTTACTCATTGAGATATAACAAAAATATATCTATTATTAGATGAGTTCAGTGTTAATCTGGTATGAAATCTAACATTTAAATTCGGATTTAATGTCTATAGAAAATAACTACGTGGATAGAAATATTATTTAATGGATACGATGATGAAATAAAATCTTAATAGCTCTAAACAATTTTACTAACAAAGTCTGATTATTAAAACGTTTGTAGTTGATCAAATAAATTATTAAACAAAATTATGTTTAAGTAGATAAAGATTTACCTGTATTCCTTGTGGGCCGACACATTGACATTTCTCTGGAGCACAAACTATTGCACATCGATCTAGATCAGACTGCTAACAAAAGAAAAAAAAGTTAAAGGATTAAATATCTTTTATCTGTAACAGTAGAGATTATGAGAGTGATTTATCAAGTCACAATTAAACTAGTAACATATTACAGACATTTATCGCAGCATATGTTATAAATTAATGATAATAATTGAGCCACCTAATTTCCTGATACGGTCGAGAGTGGTAAAAGTCAGCTCTCTCTCTCTCTCCAAATTCTCTCACATGGACATGCGTATACAGACAATGTCAGGAAGTTCTACTCACTGCCTTCTCGTGGCTGGGGTGTTGTTTACGGAATTGAGACGACGAATAGCAAATGTTCGACTCTCCAACAAGGTTGATGGACACAGAGAATCCATCTGAGGGAGTTAGTTGGAAAGCCCTAATTCCAAATCAGTAGTGCACATGAACTCCATGATCCTAAGGAAACAAATACTATATAAACCTATTGTTGGTCACTGGCTAGCATGGGACCGCATCTCCAGATGTAACTCCACTGCTTTGTGGATTAGACGTTTAGGTCGAAGTCTTGGTATGTGGCTCTCTACGAGAACCACCTGCTTCGGTGTGCGCATCATTAAAACTATAAGTGCACTTATAGGTTTGCAGTCCAAAGCTTTTTTTGAAACGTTTTGTTTTACTGAGATATTAAATTAGGAATCTTTTGTGAAATAATTTTTCGAACCATAATCCTTTCCTGCCTAATTTGGTTGTTTTTTCCGATCGAATTTTCGTATTTCAAATATTTTTACTTTGATTTCATTGACCTTTTATTCAAAATGAATAAGTTTTGTTTACTGTGCACTTCATTTTCTAAAAAACGTTTATTTATCTGAACACATAAATATTGGTACAAAGGGGCAGCAAATACATATGCGCTACACAAGTCATTTGATTTGTTTGTGGGCCGTGTTACTGCACGGGTGCCCACAACAAAGCAGGTGTTTCTCGTAGAGAGCCACATACCAAGACTTCGACCTAAACATCTAATCCACAAAGCAGTGGAGTTACATCTGGAGATGCGGTCCCATGCTAGCCAGTGACCAACAATAGGTTTATATAGTATTTGTTTCCTTAGGATCATGGAGTTCATGTGCACCACTGATTTGGAATTAGGGCTTTCCAACTAACTCCCTCAGATGGATTCTCTGTGTCCATCAACCTTGTTAGAGAGTCGGACATTTGCTATTCGTCGTCTCAACTCCGTAAACAACACCCCAGCCACGAGAAGGCTGTATACGTAACGAGACTTATATTTTATTCTGTAATTGATTTTTATATGGAAATCACCGGAAATTTAGTTTACGAAAACATTATGCATACAATTATGAATAGTACATGAAACCATTCAAAATAATTTAAAGTTCTTCTTTTATAAATGTGTACTTTCATATGTATTACATTCATTTTAATCTTATGAGTAAACTTAATACAATAACTGTACATTATTTATATTATGCCTAATGGTCAGAACATGAAACATTGGTAAATCAACTTTGAAAATGTTCACTCTACTTATTAATTGATAATAATCCTTTAAAAAAGATAAATTGAACTGATTACTTTTCGATAATGCAGTGAAAAGACGAAGTCTTTTAGAACTATTACTGGTGTTAACAAGTATATGTGTGATCAGATTGTTCGAAACGTATTGCGTCAATATATCCCATAATTCCGATGAACTTCTCATTGCATTATCGAAATTTATCAAAGGGATTACTTGATTACATTATTTTCAAAATATTTAGTTTTGCACATTTATTTATACATTATTTATAATCAGAGAGGGGTTTTATGGATATTATAGTAATTTAATAGTTCAGTTCATGGGTCAGTTGAAGCTAGAGCACTATGGAAAACCTGGAAGCACTGGACAGCCGTTTCGTCATACTGTGGGACTTCTTAACAATGTGTATCCACGATCCCGCCCCGCGAAATTCGAACCCAGGACGGTTTCTCATGGTTTCCCGTAGTGGTTTAGCTTTAATTCACTCATGAATTCAACTATGACATTATTTATAGTTTGAAAATGTACATTTCCAACTACATTAGTGAATTATTACTATTATTGTTTTTCATTCATTTTTCCGAATACCTTTTGACTAAAGATAATACCATATTCCCATATCTTTTATTAAAAATCTCTTAATGTTCATTATTTAAATTAATTTGATTATCTGATGTCTAAATGTAGATTAATAGAGTTTAACACAGTTAATAAACATTGATGTCAAGTTACCACACATATGTAAACTATTGAATGATAGACTCTATTGTTGTCATCTTAACGTCAGTTTTGTTTCAAGACTTAGTTTACACAATATTATAAGCTTACTTTAGTTTAAATAATCTATTGCGTCAATATAATATAAAAAGTTACTTATTTATACGACAGAACAGAAATTCGATTTACAACATAATGTCAAGGTCATGTGCCTTGACACTTAAAAGTAGCACTAAATCTAACCATTTCTTATTTACAAGAGAAAAAATTAACCTTTTTCTTCAATACTTTTTCTTTGTTAATATAATATCTCGAATTTCCAACTTGACAAGAATAACAGTCAAAGGTTTACATTCAGAATTATAAACTCTAACAGTCATGACATTTAAACGTATTCACTATAAGTAAGAAGTTAAATAAACGCATATTTATTTGGAATTGTATTCCTGTCTATGTGTGTATGTAATTGCTTCAGAATTATAACAGATAGTGATATACAATGTTTTTTACGAAGCATCTTCTACTAACAAAACAATGCTAAAATGTTAACTATGTTGACAGTTTCAATTACCCCACCTCACTAGTGGATGGATTTCCTGGGGTTCCGTGACCAGTACAATTCAACAATGTCTGATGTGAAGATGGTTGCGTAATATCGTGGATTGCTTGAAGTTAAACATTAACACCGCTGGATGATGGTTCAGTGGTCTAGATGGTGGGCGTTTACGTGCGAGACCGATGGTCCTGGGTTCGAGTCCCGTATGCAAAGTTGAGGATGCTCACTGCTGAGTAGTGTTATACTCGAAAACAGCCATTCATTGATTCCGGACTTTCAGTGGTAGTCTAATATTGATCTATTAATGATCTGAATCAAACACTGAACAATCTCCACAACCCTATACTAAAAATTAAGTTATAACGTAAAATGATAAAAAATTTCAAATTATCAGATTTCATCTAACATGATATTGAGTGAATTGAATCAATATACAACTAGAAGTCAAACGAGAAAAGGAACGATTTTTACTTAAGCTAGTTGATCTTATCGATAGTTATTTTATAAACACGTAAAGTTCCTGGTTGATTGAATGCTAGAACATATGTCAGGAATCTATCATCTGAGTAGAGTAGATTATGGATACAACAAAGTCTTATGAGCTCCATTATTAGCTATAAGATGAATAAGCGGAGTCAAATATCTTTATTATTTAAAGATACCATATGTTAACATTCTAAGAAAACTTCATTTTATCATTGTGAACTGTGTATAAAAAGCTTTCAGCCAACATTTTTAATTTGATGATAAGGTTCATGAAAGATTTATTCGTTTTGGAAATGAATGTAAATTCATATTATTGGTTTGCGGCATAAATTAATACCAGACGAGCATTTAATGAGAACCGTAGAATGTTTGTTATTAATGTTGCTGATTTATAATTAATCAGTTGTCCTCATTCTTCTAATTTATCTTGGAAATAATTCCATAACACTTCAAAGTACTGAGTTAGTTACCTTTCCAATCATTTATATTTATTTTAATATTTTACATTTTTGACTAAAATTGACTAAATGTTATTACTAATTTATTTCTAATTATTATTTAAGTCACCTTATAACATCCAGCTACTCCGAAAACGGATTACTTATGGAAGATTAAAATAGTCAGTTACTGAAATAATACTGAAAAAAATCAGATTTTAATTAAGTGACAGTAAAATTCATAAACATAACAGACGATGGGTGAGACTATAATTTATGGACGAACCAACCAGGTATAAGATAACAGGTCTCGGATTTTGGAGAGAAATTCATTCAGCTATTTGGCAAAATAGAGTGTTGGCATTATAGCCGATGTCAGTTCGTAATGCAAACCCTAAATATTATTCCTAACTTTAAACGTCAAATGTAAATCACAATTCGAAGCCTTTACGCAGGTTTATAACCCTCATTTGGTCCTAGTTATTAGGCAGACAATCTCAAGGTCACTTTAGCGTCGCTCAAAGGTCGTCCATAAATTATAGTTTCACCTCTGGTTCTTATACAACCGTAGGTTCAGTAGATAAAATTAAGAAGTATTCAATTCAATAAAATTCAAACTGCAATACTAAGTAATCACAATCATTTTAAACCTTTGAACTGTGAAACCGTATGAGATATTTCAGCTAATTTACACATTTTGATGGAAATGATTAGTTACATAATAGAGCAAGGATCAAAAGTAATCAATGTTGCCTATTATTGAATTGAGCGATCTTAATACTTACTACATACTGTTGAAAACAATTAAATATAAAGTGTCATAAAACTAAATTATTTGAGATAATAATAATAATAATAATAGTAACAATAATAATGTATCTTCAACTAAGGATGTTTTTTGGCATTTAGAATATTCTTTTCTTTTTCTGATTTCGTTTCTTCTGTAACATCAAAAAAAGAGCATTCGTTAACTTTAAAACGTTACCAATACAAAAAATGAACTTGTTGCATTAAAAAAGACCGATTTCCTCACTAAATAATAATACTATCAACTGAAAATGTGTGTATGATTATTAGTAAAGAGGTTTGTATGAACAGTGGAATTTTATAGTTTAAATAAGAGTAAACTTGGTTAGACAGTTGCTTAAAACTATGGTCCACTAGAGATTCGTTTCACTTTAGTGATGAGAGTCTGAATCCATCGGGTATAGAATGCAGAACTTATAAGTTACATGAAGGGCACATAACCACCATCGAGCTGCCTATATTTCTATTTTCAATCAATAAGTTATGCTTTGCAGCCATCTTTAACTCCCATTAATGAGTAACGTCCTCACACCAAATATACTTAAAATTAACCTGATATGCATTCTCAATATAATAAACCTTCCAGGATTATTTCTATAAATTAGTTCCTAATAAGAATACAGGTTTATGAAGATTGTTGAATATTATAGTTTGCATTAAAGACAAGTCTTAGTTAATTGTATAATTAATTTATTACATTTTCAAAATTCAACAATCAGAAATATTTTCTCTAAAATTATTGTGGTAACAAAATTATACTGAGCCTGAAGTATAATTGTGATGATTGTTATACTTGATTTGTTTTGTACTTAACCTATAATGTAATTTCCATGATTTAAATGAAACAATTCTAGTTATTTAGATAATAATGTATGGAATGACAGTATTAATTTTATACATTATTATACAATTATTCTAGACCACTGAGCCGGCATCCATCAGTGTTAATGTCTAACTTCCACCAATCCACGATATCTCTAGAATTTGTAGGTGTTCTGAAGAAGAAAAATATGAATTCACAAAGAGTTATTAGTATAAACGTGACCAAATACGATAGAATGCAGTCTTCTCTCTCCTTGTACTAAAACGTTAGTGTTTTTTTAGTGAACTCTTAAAAGAGTTAACGTTGATTTTGCGAATCAATCAGTAAACTGTCGAAATCAGTACAAATGAAAACAACAATTTGAGAAAATGTGGAAACATTGTGTTGGATGATATTGAATCCTTAAAGTTGTAACTTAAGACAAGTTCGATTTTTTTTCTCCGGTCTAATTCAAAAAATTTTCGTTATTTCTAAAAATGATGGAACCGGATTTTTTTCATAACTTTTTTTGCATAAACCAGTTTGGCAATCATGTTTCTTATGAGGTAGTCTAATATCCACTTGGAAAACAAGACCCAGTTTTGAAAAAAACTCTTCAATGAATACAAAAGGTTTTTGTTTATATGATTGATATCAAAAGCGATAAATAATACCCTATTTATAACAAACAAAAACTTACAGATCTCACCAACTGAACAATTACTACAAGATATAATCCAACTAAATATAACAATCGTTGTGATGTGTTTCTGAAAGTAGGCAAGAAAAAAAATGTGGAGAAATAAGTGTGTGTAAACGCAGTTACCGAAAATATTATACGAGAACTGGATATGCATTGTTCAATATATTTCATATATAAGAAACCGAGAAACCTATTTAATGAAATGGACAATAGTAGGCTAACATAAATCAAAATGTACAGATTTTCAATGTGTTTTAAAAAAAGGTATTGATTGAAATTGAACTGATATTTGGAGTAAAAATGTCCTGACATTCAGTCTTTGAATCATTGACCTTTTTAGTTATAGAAAGGGTAGAAAAATTATTAAGAGTACTTTTGTAACAAGTATTCATTGTATTACCCCAGTATTGATGAGCAGCATATAATAATCATATGTCAGAAAAAGTGTATATATCAAGCTACAGATGCTATGAAACCGAAATTTTAAACATCCCAAATATTGACAGATAGTTCCCATTTAAACATTAAAATTAAAACACGAATTTCAGCGAAGGGATCTCTTTTCAACGAATTTATTATCAAGCTGTACAATCGTATATATATGAAAATTTTGTTTTTGTAAAAGTACTAATTCCGTCAGGGAATGTGAACACAGTTAATAAATTCGTTGAAAAGAGATCCCTTCGCTGAAATTCGTGTTTTAATCCCAAATATGGTTGAACGCACCTTTAACTGTTAAATGGTAACAATTCAAACTGAAGATTGTGAACTGGCCGTTAAGTATAAGCCACATCAGTGAATTGAAACGTGAAGCTTCAAATATTCAGTGTAGTGATAGTAACCCGTAGGTGTTGTTTAGATCTTTAATTTGTTGGCTCAGAAAATCAAATGATTGATATTATCATTATTATCACTATTGCTTGTTCTACGCAACCCATGTATTATAATGATTTGAATGCCTTAAATTTGACCATTTATGATATGGCAACTATTCTTTACAAAATAAGACCTAAACCAAAATGATACTGCTGTCCTTCGCTTTTTGCTCTTCAATTGACACCAGTTACTGATGGAATTTACCTTTACAATATACAAAACCTTTAAAAGACTGATTAATTCAATGAAAATATAACATAAGTTTTACATCAAATACTTTGTTTCAAACTGTACACCTTTCAAGGGGTGAACAATAGAGTTATCACTTTTAAGATTTAATTTAAACAGTCAAATTGTAAGTATAATTCAAATCGTTGTAATCTACACAAAATCTTTTAAAAAGTTTAAATTTCGCAGTCTAAAAATAGTAAATTAGTTAACTAACTATTTAATGATTACCAACAGATAATACACACATCATACACTTTGAAAGTTTGGTATTTCAGTTAATTATTTGTACCATTTGGACCATTAATGTTCCTTAAAATTACATTCTACCCATGTTATTATCGTGTTTATCATAATGAATTACAAATGGAAACAATCTACTTTTATTCACCTACAAATCTCCGAATTTACATGGTTATCTAAGGGAGAAAATCTAATTGGTTCTTTTTTAAAAACGGTATATGCTATGATATTAACTAATGATAGTAACTGAATGAAATAAGGATAATTTATAGATCAATTAGATTACTAACTGTTAAATGCCTAGAGTATTTGTTCTGCTCCTTGTCATGACCTTGACATTTATCACGGTTAAATCAAATAAATTTCTAATTATAAATACAGATCGTTGATCAATACAACAAGAGCATAGCATTCATTGAATACTTCATGTTGATTTTCTTTACAAATTGAAGGCACTTAACTTACTATTTAATAAACGAAATGTGCTCTTTATATATACATATACTCGAGAAAATTCATGGATTGAAATGATGCAATAGAAGATTTATATTCAAATTAATTTGCAAAATCGACTTACACTTTGGACAGTACATGGAATTTAAACATGATCCTTCATATGACCACAGAATAATTGAATTTATTGTTTCAAAGATGATATTCAATGACTGAACAAAAGTGAAATTTAACAATATATAAGTGTAATATTAATTCCAAGATTGAATTTTCTATATTTGTATAAGAAAATTATTATAGCGACGGAAATAATTCAGAAGTGGTTTTAAACTATGAAATTGATAATCAGTTAAAATTAGATGTCACTGTTTTTCTAGTTTTGTGTCACATATAACCTGATAAATAATCGATTTAACTTTTTATCCCCATGACCTGATCGTTAATATACTGTGAAAATGGTAATCACATTTGCATGCATGTACTTATATTATAGATATATATGCATATATATATATACATATCTTTATATATTACCTAGTGTACTTGTAGGAGTATATTTCTGTACGTTTGTGTGTCGACTTACACATATGTACAATTTACATTTATCTACATCTGTGCCCGTTTGCGTTAGTTGACCTAGAAACATATGTATGTTTGTATTTCCCTATCTCCTTTTGCTGCTACATCGAATAGGCCATCACATAGGTTAGATGTAACACTACTCACCTAAGTTTCATGGAGAACTTCACTTAAAAATTTGATGCTGTAAAATGTCACAATTGCAAAAACAAATATAAACATAGATGTATATTCGGATTACCTACGGTTTATGATTCACTGTTTATTACTTTGTGTAATATCCTATACGGAACAACATTGGAATAGACAGAGAGAAAAGAGAAAAGTGCTACAATTGTGCCTGTCTAGTATACAGCATAAAATAAATTTTATAGCCCTACCAATCATTAGAGATTTTATGTCCTCTCCTCATCTGTCTAATCCATAGCCCATTGTGTGAGTGTACACGAAAACAACAGTAATAATAATGATAATAACGATGACGACCACCTAATTCAGTTGCTTTGTCTGACCTCATATGCCTACACAATATGCGATAGTTGTGTATAGGTTTATAGTGTATTGAAAATAAGGCAAAAAGTAATCTGAAACACTTCTATCGGTAAACATAATAAGACTGATTTCAAGGTGAATAATAATAAATATTGTTTGTTTAAATAGCATGAAAATACCCGAAAACATCTCTTCAAACACATGTACTACTAGCTTCTTCCAGTCAAGTAGTATAAAATCATAGGTATAGGTTAATTTCCAATCGTACGGAATTTAGCAGCAACAGTACCCTAGCTTGAATATTTTCATTTCAAACAAGAAAAAAGTTGCAGATAATAAATGACATCTCTAAAACGAATATAATAGTTCTATGCAATATCTACGGTAAAAATGCATAAATTCAAAGCAAATTATATTTAGAACTGTTTGTACGGTTAGTTAACTATTATATCACATTTACCATAAGCCCATTATTCTACATTTATTCTTTCCAATTTCAGATTGATCTCATAACACTTTCGTTCTTTTAAACTTAAATAAATAGCATGAGTAAAGATAGCATATGTACAATAATTTGATATTTGATGAGAAAAACTCATCATATCCCGATCTTCAGAGATAATGCACAGGTATTGTCTTACTCGTATCTAGATCAGGTATCAAGATTTACAGGATCATATTGTGAATACGTCAAGCCGAAATTTCCTCTCATTATATCAAGCTTATTTAGAGTGTTTTAGTGTTTTGACGATAAGGCAACCCAGAAAATTATTTGATTAACATATATTTAGCCAACTAAAATCTACTGTAATTATACGGTGATTAGAATAACTCACAATTTACTTCATACATATTGCTAAACATGTTGAATAACATTGCTACTTATGACTAAGAGGAAGTATTTCGTGATCAATTTTATCCAAATCCATTGCATTTCGTGTTCTTAGTTGATGACTACCATATTTTCGGCTTTTTCCTCTGAATTGAATGCACTTTAGTCAGGAATGAAGTTTTACTTGATTGACAACATTACAGACTAAATTTATGTACTGCTCAAGTGAATAGTTCTAATGATTACAATCCTCAAAATGAACTACTGAAATCATAATGGAGCCATTTGAAAATAAAAGGCGTCTGATATAATCTACTAAAGCTGTAAATCTGTATGAGAATTACTAATTACTTTGTTATTTAATATAATATTTAATTTATGAGGCTCTTATGCTAGGGGTTACAATTTTTGAAGCTGATGGCTTGGTTCCATATAACAATTTTGTTAATTATGTAGTTAATTAGTTGAAAAACTACCCGGCTGTGATCAATATCAATGCGAAATATGTAAATAAATTTAACACCATGTTAGTTAATGGTCTACATTGTTACAAGGTTCTGATTATTTATTGAAGTAAAATATGACTGTTATACAACTAACTGGTTGTTGATCATATTCATTATCAAAAACAAAAAGAAACAATACAAAACTAACTTCTAACACTTGTAATCACATATGTGTTCAACAAACCAAATGGTAATTCAAAAATAAGAAATGGAGATTCAGGGGATACAAAACATGTCTTTGAATTTGCATCTCATCTGCTTCTTATTGTCCAATATGTGTGCAATATCTAGCATTTTTCTGTCCATTTAATGAGTAGATTCTGCATTTAAGATCATAAGTTTCACTTGTTATTTCATTTCAAGCTCTAAAGTTCACTTTATTTGTTTGTGTTTTTTTCCATCCGGCAAATCAGAACGAACTACAGTAGCGCGTTTATAGAGGACATATGTGTAAATAACTTTACATAATTCATATCAAGTTCTAAGCGAAAATTACGTTCTTATATGCTGCACTGAATCATTAAACGGATGGAATACTGCTCAAAAATTCAAAAAATCTATTTTTAAAAAAAAGCTATTTGTTATAGTAACTACTGTTTTTACAGGGTTTGTAACTTATTCCCTTAGTAAAATCTTTTACTCTATCTCTTTCATTAAATTACATAATAATGAACACAAATAATCACTGATCACAAATGATCAGAAATTGATGAGAATTAAAATATCCATTTAATAAAATACATTCATTTAACTTGGATGATTTTAGTCTACAATTTTAGATTATCTATTAATTCTACCTTATAAGTAAGTAAAACTTATAATTCAATCTTTCGGTTTTGTGCAGAATGAAACTAAAGAAAACCAAATAAACACTTTGAAAGCTATAAAAATAGGCAAATAAAAAGATCTGATTTCATAGGATTTTAAAATAAACGTGCAAGTGATGCCGGGAGATTTTGTTCACAATGGTAAACCGACTTTATTCAATCACATTTTTCTAAAGCCTATAATACAGATTCTATTCATGAGCTTTATAGGGAGCTAGTTATATGCACATAATACGCAATGTATTAACCCAGTAGTTTTTAATGTATCGATAAAACTTAATTCAGACATGACTGATGCGTTCACTAACCGTAATGTCCTGGGTATGAGTTACGTTAAGAAGTACGCCATCAAAATAAAACATATGTGTACATGAAACTAATTGATATTTTCTAAGAAGTTGGAAATTAAGAAAGAAAATTATATTTGTAAAAATCTCACCGATTGAAATTTGAGCAAATCCAACATTTCAATTGGCAATCTGGTCCAAGGTTTTCCAAGGAAATATAACCAGATATCAAAATTATCGAATATACATCAACAGTTCACCGGCGAATTGTCTGCCGAACAAGTGGTCTAACAAAGTTAACAATGTTGAAAGTGAGATTTTTTACTATGTGTATGAGGCATTTGGTGTATGTAATTATGAAGCGAGAAAATGATTAATTATATATCGTCTCTGTGCAGGCGTTTGATGAATGTCTTAATCAGAGTACGTTGGTGTCTAGAAATGGAATCCAGAAAGAGAGTTTAGTCCTGTTTGGGACTCGTCACCTGGGTGTACCTGTATCCCAGAGATGATTTACATTCTGGCACTCAAACCCACAGTTTTGCTTCAGACCCCGCCACGTTATCCACTTAGCTACTGAGTGCAGTGATTCACTAGCTTGTGCAGTGAGGTAAATTTAAATTCATATATATTGGTTGCTTGAATCTTACCAATGATGTTTAGGACTCTGATTGATCAATCTCTTTTGGCATCTGTGTATTCTGTGGAGATTGCTTCGATATTCTCACAAGAATTTCAAGCAGAGATGATGAACCCAACGTCACGACATGCATAAAATGACGATAAGTAGGCAAATAGATTTTTTTTATCGTGTTGACCAAGATGGTTATTTATTGTATATTCAGTAAATTAACTGATTAGAACAAGTGAAAGTAATCATCGTTGTCCACATAATAATAAATGGATCAACTGAAGTAAAATATAATGAGTCCAGATTTACTTATTAATCACTAGTTGTCATGAAACAGCTAATTGCATTTTATCTCTGCTATTAACATTGTTTGGAATTGCTCGTATATGTAGGACTTAAACTACAATTCTCTCTTTGTAAGAACTAAAACCTTGTTGTAGGATTCTTATGCCATTGAAATCACTGGTATGGCCCGACTCTATTGCATACAGTGGTATCAGTGACTTGGTTTTTCAGATCTTCTGAAAATTCAGAAATGTGTTTCCCTTCACTCGTACATTCATCTCTCGTGATATCTTACCCATATATTTAGCACTACATTCCCAACATTTAATCTAATATTCACTATTTTATTGTTCCCTCTTTGTTAATGAGTCTTTCTTCGTAATTTAGTATTTAGAGTATTGTTTGTTCAGAAGAATAGTCTTATAATGTGATGATTTAGGACCCTTCTGGATATGTTCTGAAGTTTCTTTGCAATGTAAGATCACCACCGTGTTCACTTGTTCTTTTGATGTATCTTTTCTCTGATCTTTTTGATTCCCTTTCTTTTTATAAAGTTCTTAAGATAAATATTCATCATCAAAGTGGCTATAACTTAATGCATTTTAGTTTCTCTATCACTAGATTCAATGACAAACTATTGAGCTCTGTTTTTCAAATTCTTCGAAACTGTCGCTAGTGTAGAAATAGCATGTGCTAATTTCCAATTCAGTTATTTTACGGAATATATTAAGTTCCAAACAATCATTTTGTTTTATTTCAACCGCATAATCCAGAAAAAACTATATGTATTCAGTGGATTCCATCTCTTCAGTAAATCTGATGTTATCTAATATACTGTGGACAATTTCTAAGAAGTTCATCTAGCTTATATCTTTTCGTAAGAATAAAAGTGTCATCCATGTACGTCAACCACATTTTTGTTGGATGAGCTTATTCCGGATCCTAGTTTTTCACCTGTATTCATTTCAATAAAAATAACAAACAAAAAGAATTAAATGGAATGCATTAAATACATAATGACATTTTACTAATGAAATTACACAACTTGCTTTACATTTAG